ATTCAGTGAAGTAATGACTTTTGTATGTGTGACACATTTGTTTCGTTGTTATTGTTGCTAAACCTAATAAGCACAGTTGGAGGGGATGCAGAGGCGGGAACACTTCCTATCAGAATGCTTTAACTGAAGTAGTTAAGTTTATGCCTTGACTTGTATCAAAGAATGATATTTGGAATGTTAGAATTTTTTTGAAAACTGGTAAAGTTTTATGTGCCTCTTTTTTACGTAAAGTTACACGTGACAATTTTCTCTTAGAATTTGTAGTTAGAAAAAAGATTCTCTTTGCTGGAGAACTGTCAGGATCCCTTTGGCGCATTATGTTTTTGTTTTTTGCCTTTGATGAACAAAAAATTCAAAACTAATTCTACAGGAAATGTATTACCTATCTTATCTTATATTCACAACATAATTTCTTCAGTTCTCATTTTATATTGTCTCTAATTTTCTTTCCTATATCACTATTAAAAGATTATTGTGTTTTTATGTTGTTACCCTAAATCTATATTTATATTTTAAATTATAAAAATAAAAAAATGGAGATTTAAAATATTTGTATCTTATTCACAACAGTTTGTTTGGCTGTAATGACAATCCAACAATACAGATTTCCCAGATTTACTTTCAATAATTTTAACACCACAATATTAAAACTGACATTATTTCCTATATCGTAAGAACTATATCTTTTGCCAGTGTAAAGTTATCTTCCCCAGTAGGTGGAGGTGGAATTAAAAGGAAAGAATAAGAAAGAATATTATCAAGTAATTGTCATGAAAATAATTACATCCTTGTGAATATTTTATTTCTAGGTGTTATGAACTTACTATTTTTTAAATTTTTTATTTTTTTAATTACAATTTACATTCAATATTATTTTGTATTAGTTTCAGGTGTACAGCATACTGGTTAGACAATCAGATACTTTCCGAAGTGATCCCCTTGATATTTCCAGTACCTACGTGGCACCATACATAGTTACCACAATTATTACTGACTATATTCCCTATGCTGTACTCTACAGCCCCATGACCATTTTGTAACTACTGATCTGTACTTTTTAATCTATTTACCTTTTTCATACAGTCCCTTAAGCCCCCTCCCTTCTGGCAACCATCAGTCTGTTCTCTGTGTCTATGAGCCTGTTTCTGTTTTGTTTGTTCATTTATGCTGTTCTTCACATTCCACATGTAAATCCAAGATATTTCTCTTTCTCTGACTGACTTATTTCATGTAGCATACTACCCTATAGGTATGACCGTGCTGTTGCAAATGCTAAAAGGTCTTTCTTTTTTATGGCTGTGTAATACTCCATTACATGTATGTACCATAGCATTTTTTATCCACTTGTCTATTGATGGGCACTTGGAGTGTTTCCATTTGAAAGAATATATGCATCCCTATGTTTATTGCATTCCTATGATTATTTTCATTTCAGGAAATATGGAGCTAATGACCATAACAAGAAAGAACTCTGTAATACCTTGGAACCCCAGAAACCATGCTTTCTAATGGTGTCTTTCAGACATTGTAATAATGAAAGTATATAAGTATATAGAAAAGCAGAAAGCAACGGACAAACTAGTGGATTTGACAGTGTTAAACTACCTCTATGTCAAGAAAAATTAGAACATTTATTTATGATGTTTGTACTCTTACTGTTATAATTTAATATAAAATAGTAAAGTCAGGGAAACTTTTAAAAAATAAGAAATGTATTTTGTTGACTTAGTAATGCCCTGCTATAATAATGATGCTATCATATAATCTCAATAAATAGCTAAAAGTTCAGAAACTTGACATTGTCATGGACAGGTTGTGTGAATTGGCATTCATTCTTAGCCACTTTGTTAAGACATCTAAAGAAAATAGAAAGCACAAATTGAAGCAAGCAAGGACCTGACAGTCCATAATATCTTCTTGTCTTTTAAATAAAAGCATTTAAAACTAAAAACTTACCCTAAATACCACTTGGGCTGATTACCAAACATCTTGATATGTCTATATTCTGATAGTCATTCAATTCTAAAGATTTCACACTTTCCCTTATTATTACCTTCTTAACTTATGAGTTATTTGGAAACGTACATGGGGTTTTTAAAAATATGTTGGTTTTGCCATCTTATATTGTTGATTGCTTATTTAATTACATTGTTACTAGAGAATTTTGTGTAATAAAATTTGAGAATTGTTATGACTTACGTTTCATACAAATTTGAAAAGCATGTATAGTCTCTGCATTTTAAAGGAGTGCCTTTACACTATGTTGCATTCATTTGTTTTTATAAATGTTAGTTTTGTGCTTTAAAAAGGTCTTCTTAAAATATTCCTGTTTATTGAGTACAGGGCCCTCTTATGTCAGGCTTTTACATTTACTCGTTCAAGTCTTTTAAGTCCTTGCCAATTTTTGTCCACTTGATCCATCAGTTTCTTATAGGAGTCCATTAAAATCTCCTGTTCTTCTTGTTATTCTGTTGTTTTAGCTTATTTTGAGAAATAAACTTTTTTATCCTTCATCAAGAATGAAAATCCTAATTCATACTGCTGTTTTATCCTTGAGTGCCAAAATTTCACACATTTACCTCAGTGTGAAGTGTATCACATACCAACATATAAAGAGAACCTGAAAGGTAAACTGTTCGTAAGTGTCCATTTCATTCTCTCCTTTTAGAGGAAAAGAAGCTATATATTAAAGCTGGTGGGCAGGGGAGAAGAAAAAATAAATTATATGTACATTACAAAAAATTGGACTTAAATTTTGAATTTTAAAAATTAAATTTGCCACAGCACATCCAGACTGATATGAAAAATTAAAGCTAAGCCTAGGTAGAACGTTTCTTGAAAAGATGGCAACATTCTTTGAAATGGTGTTAACTTTGACTTCTTAGCCTGCCATCCAAGACACAAGCAAAGCACACGAAAGGCTGGACCACAGACTGGAACAGTATTAAAGGTCACTCTCCGACATATCACTGAATGTTACTGAAAAGGTTAGATGATTCCAAGGGAGTGCGGCTTTCATGTTCAGAAAGAGGCATTGAGAGTGGCAGATGCTAGAGGGGAAAAAAGAAGTTAAAAGACAACCTTGAAGATCCAACGCAATAGCTGCTGTCCAAAATGAAATGATTCCAGAGTAACTGTTTTGGTGGTCAGCACCAAGCATTTCTAGAAAATGCTCCTAATGTCGCCAGGAGAGGTGCCCCTGGTTTCCATCCCCATCCCTGCGGCTCCGAGACACGGGGTGTTGGGAGGATCTCACTCGGTACCCGCGGTCCCTGGCCTGTGGCTGCAAGACGAGGAGATGGGGGCGCTGACAGTCCGCGAGAGCACAGCAGAGCAGAGGGTGCTCCTTGGTTGGTTCGGGCATTTGTTCTAGAGCATTTATACTGACTTTGCTTTTTAAAAATCACTTTTTCTTCAAACATACACATGAAGGCAAATGATGTGGTTAACCTTCTGGATCAGTACAGCCAGTAAGTTTGTAGAAACCACATTCAGATCAGATTTAGTGAATTCTTTTTTCCTTAAACACCTTTTTCCCCCCAAGTGAACAGAAGTTCTGCAAACACTGAGACATAAGTGAAGTTCTCTCTGTTGCCAGAATGTCTTTCAGATGTCGAGATAAGCCACAAATATCTGCACTATTGAAAAACAGTAATATGGTACTATTACTAATAACAGTAGTAGTAATAAATGTGGCCACACTTGTGGGTAGAAGGGAAAGAGATATTCTCTACTAACTTAGGTGTACAAAAATATTTTGGGGGCTTCTTGTGTACCCTTGTGTGGTCTTCCACCCTCTGGGAGAATTGCAACAATCATGAGTGAATAACGGGTGTTAAATCTGGGCAGGCATTTTCCCATGTCCACCAACTTATGGTTTTTTTCCCCCTTATCTTGGCATACATGATGTGTTGATATTAATAGTCAAAGGCAATGAATTATGAGTGAGTTTATAGGAGGTTGTAAGTTTCTGTTTAGTTGATAATAGTTTTCTTTCTTTAAAAAAAGCCAGATGAGTGATTTCTTAGGAAAATGCAATTTCCCCAAAATGGTGTGAGTAGAGACAGAAACCTTGAACCAATCAGTATTCATAAAGTTTTTGAGAAATAACAGAAAAAAAAAACCCCACAAAGATGTACGAGGCCTAAATCATTGCAGGGAGATTCAAGTAAACTTCTAGAAAGCAGGTAGTCCCAATATTTTAAAATTGTTTCGGAATATAGCAAATAATGAAAAAAATTACAAATTATTTTAATGAGTAGGTATAACATGAATACCTAATCCTGATAAGCACAAAAAGAAAGCCACAGATCTATATCATTTATGACGATTGGTACAAAAATCCTAAATGCAGTATTAGAAGTAGAGTCCCAAGCCACTAAGAAAGTAACACACTATAACCTGGATTTTATACCCAGAGTGCAAGAATCAGGTTAGGATTCTGCTAGGATATTTGATAATAGTTACATTACTAAAGGTTCTAAGGAGAAAAATCATTCTTAAGAGTATTTCGCAAAGAAACATATAATAATGTATTTATTATGTTAACATTTAATATATATCACACAAATACTAAATAGATAGTCTTCCTGTTGACCGCGGTGACTTCTCATCACCTAAAGAACTCTTGGAAAGGCCTGGGGCACTAACTGGACGCCGTTCGAAAATACAATTCACAAGGAATTCAAGACCCAATTATATGCACCGGAGGATGAAACCCGAGTTTGCAGGGTGGGCAGGCGCTCCGCGGCAGGGAAAAGTCGTAGGACTAATAACCAGGGATCCCTCGCCTCGCGACCCAGGAGCCGCGTCCACGCCCCCCGGGCCCGCGGAGGCTGCGGCGCCGACCGCGGCCGTTGAGCCCCTCCGCGCCGGTGCGCTCGGCTCGCGCCCGGGCCGCCACCGCCTCCCGCCCGCAGCCGCACACGCATGCGCGGTGAGCAGTCGCTGCCGGGCAGCCGCGGGCGGGCTGGGTCTTGGGAGACGCGGGGACCAGGTGGCAGCGACTCGAACAAATAAGCTGCGGCTGCCGGAAACGGTCCCGCAAGACAGGTGCGTGGGCGGGGGCCGCTCTCCCGCTGCCCTTTGCGCTCCGGCGGGGGTGAGGGACCGGAGTCCCTGCTCCTACCCCCAGGGCGGAGGTTCCCGGGCCGCACCCCTTTCTTTGGCGACGCGCTAGGCTGAACAGGTTGAGGCCGGGAGAGGGAGCGGGCGCGGAGTTCGGGGACCGGGTGCCGCGGATGCGTTCGTGGGCGGGCCCTCCCGGCCTTGGGAAGAGGAAAGTCAGCCCCGGCGGCGGGCGTTCATGCCACCTCGGGTCCGTTGGGTCCGCTGAAACTGCTCTGTCCACCTGCTGCGCCGGGGCTCGAGAGGGAGCGGGCAGGCCGGGTGCCCTCCCGGCCCGGGCTGTAGGGCCCCCGGGAGCAGAGTCCGTTATTCCAGCGGTTGCCATTTCAGCCCCGTCCGGCGCTCGAGCCCAGGCGCGCGCTCCCGAGGTGTGCGGAGCGGCCGCGGGGGCGGGGGTGTCGCGATGCCGCTGGTCCCGCCAGCTACTTCTCACCAAAACTTGAACCAAACCAAGTAGGCTCCGCTTAGGCGAGCCTCACCTCTGTTAAGGCGAAAGGACCCGACCCGCGCACACCAGTGGTGATAGACCACTCCCTAGGCGCGCTGCCTGGAGCCAGGCGTGCGCCGCTGGGGACGGAGCGCGTTCCCCACGAAGCCCTAACTGCTAGACTCGTTATCTCCGCAAGCCTGTTTGTGGTCAATCGACGCTTTAGCTGATGTTATCACATCTCCCCAAGTAACAAGGAGGAGGCATTTGCTTGGGGTTTAAAAGCAATTGACAACAAAGCTCAGAAAGAGAGAGAAAGTAACTCGAATGGACACGGGGAGAAGACTCAAATTAGAAAAGAGTTCATTTATACTGAAACGTTTTGCTGTGTAAAAGCCATGAAAACCCTGGTCTAGCCTTAAGATTTTGCTTGCTTTAAAATTTTGACATCACCCCAGGTCATTTAATCATTCTAGGTAGCCCTCCTTATGGTGATTGCAAGTTTGATCTCTTTTTTTTTTTCGTTTATACCGTTTTGCCTTTCTTTGTATGTAATTGGTTCAATCTTCCAGTCTCATTTACGCCATATCCCTAAATCTTTAGAACAAGGTATTCTATAGTCTTTATCTAGTTGATAGTTAATTATTGTGTGTGTGAGTGATGTGTGTTGATGAATCTGTAGAAATTAAACAACGCTGTAAATTAGCCTTATTGCTTATTTTCGGTACCTAATGAGTTTCAGTGCTCTTAAAAAGAAGACTAGAATTGTGAACCTTAATGGACTGTTCGATCATCTAATTTAACGCTTTTATGTAACAAATGATAGAGCAGGCCCAGGCCAAAGTTAACCCGTTGTCTTTTTAAAAATAAAAGTAGACACTTGGTGTCGTGGTGCCAAGTTCAGTGTATTTTCTATTATATCATTGACAACTACAGCTTGAAATAATGGTGATATTCAAACACTGTTTTTGAGACATACCAGCGTTGGATTGGGGGGGGGGGGGCTGAATAGCAGAAAGGCATCTCAGTGGTAAGAATAGCATATAGAAAAGCATGAATGTGCTGCATAGGAGAGTGTTGAAGAGAGTAAAAGAAATGAGTCTTAAAGGGGTGGACTTTATGCCGAGAAGTACAGAGAGCTATTGAACATTTTCATAAACAGTGAAATAAGAGGGGTTTTTGTTTTGTTTTGTTTTCAGAAAACTCATGCTAGAGAGAAGGTGGAGGATAGATTTGAAGATTGGCAAGGCTGGAATTGAAGAGGTATAGTGGGAGTTTGCCAATCCTTTTCAGAAAGAATGGGTTCCTTTCACCTCCGTACGCGGTGTCATGGGGGCAGAGAGAAACATTTAGAAAATACCCAAATGTATTTAGTTACCAGCGACACAGGCGATCAGTGGGAGAAAATAGTTTTATGGTCATGGTTGACTGGAGGTGCAGTTAATGGGAGAAGGGAATTAAGAAGATAGAGAAGCAGTCTTAGGAGGAAAGAGCAAGTTCAAACTGATGGAGACTTTGGGATGTTCTTGAAGATGGGTAATTATTTGAGTCCAACGAGTGGGGAACCTCTGATCTGTAAATAAAATTTGGGAGTTTTTAGGTAGCTTTTATAGACAGAAGCCATGAGCCTATGTCGTGTAAGAAGAAACCTGGGACAGGATCCTAAAGAACAGCAGTATTTGCAGAAGCTTAGAGAAAGTGTCCACAAAGGAGGCAGAGGAAGGGAAGAGAATCAGGACTCAGGATGGTGCCGCAGAAGCCCAGGGAGGGCAGGCAGAAAGACTGCTCCAAGGAGGAGGCGGTCGGCGAGGCGGGGAGGGGCCGCAGGCAGCAGCACGGGAGAATGCCACTGTCGTCCTCAGCCATGACGAGGGGCCTCGGTCCGCAGGAACAGTTTCAAAGGGGCCGGAAGTAATCAGTACAGGGATAATGAAGGCCTTAGTTTTTCATTGCTGCCATAATGAATTAACGCAAGCGATCAGCTTAAAGCAACCCCAAATTATTGTTGCATTGTTCAGTAGGTCAGAAGTCAGACAGGTCTCACTGAGCTAACATCAAGGTGTCGGCAGAACATCATTACTCACTGGGAGCTCTGGGGACACTGCAGTTCTTTGCTTTGAGGTTGGTGGCAGGATTCAGTTCCTTGTGGCTGTAGGCTGAAGTTCCTGTTTCCTTGTTGGCCATCAGCTGTGCATGTTTTAACATGGCTTTCAGACTGGGGTTTGTATCAGTGGCTCTCCTGTCAGGCTTTCAGACTCAGTGTAGAACTGCATCACAGGCTTTCCTGGGTCTCCCCAAACTCCCAGGAAAATATAGTCTAGTCTTATTCCCCAGAAAAAGAAAAAACAGCTTGGTGATCAGCTAGCAATCGCTCCCACGCTTTACAGCAAGTATTGGGTGTCCTGCGATTACCTTGTTTTTAGTGCTCTAGCTACCTCTGCTGTGGAATTGAGCCTTACTTCAATACCAATAAATGAACTGCACTTTATAATTTGTGATTTGGGACTGGCCACGGAGATTCGGTAGGGCTTTTAGGTGTTGGTGAAATTCTTTGAGGTAAATGAGGCTACTTGGTCTTGGTTTCAAAGATTAAGAAGAATGCTATCTCATACTTGGGCAGAGTTACTTATGCTTTAATTTGTTATTGAATTGGCCCAGAAGCAGTGCAAAGAACATACATGAGATAAAAGATATGTGCAAAGGGAGACACAATGATATCTAATGATTTCAGCAACCTGTATGGAGTGAGGAATACACAGGAAGCATAGAACCCTGGACCTGCTGTCTTTTATCCATTTATAAGGAAGGAAGATGGTAGCATCAGACTGAAAGCTCTACTTTATACCATGTAAACAAATTCTTGCTGCACTGAAACTGCATAACTCAGAACAGCCATGACGAACAGTACAGAAATAGAGGACTTGAATAATACTGTAAACCATTTGGACTTAATTGGACATCGACGGAAAACTCCACCTAACGACAACAGAAAAAAAAAGCAATACTAGTTGTTCCCTAACTCTTACAAAAAATTTAAGAGAGGGAGGTACTTCCAGACTCATTCTATGAAGACAGCATTACCCTGACACCAAAGCCAGACAAAGGCACTGTAAGAAAACTTCACAAATAGCCAACACCCCTTATGGCTATTCATGCAAATACATGTTTTTCTTAAGTGCACATGGAATATTCTCTATGACAGACCACATGTAAAGCCATGAAACATCAAAAATTTTATAAAGTCAAATTATACACAGCATCAATTACAGTGTAATGAAACCAGAAATCAGTAGCAGAAGGAAAACAGAAAATCTGCAAGTATTTGGCAATTAAATAATACACTCTTAAACAACCAAAAGGTCAAAGAGGAAATTACAAGGAAATAATAAAATATTGTGAGATAAATGAAAACAAAAACACAACATACCAGCCCTGGCTGGGTGGCTTAGTTAATTGGAGCATTGTTCCCTACACCTAAAGGTTGAGGGTTCAATCCCTGGTCAGAGCACATACCTAGGTTGTGGATTCCATCTCTATTTGGGGTGTGTAAAGAGATGACTAAGTGATGTTTTTCTCACATCAGTATTTCTCCCTTTCCAAAATCAATAAACATATCCGTGGGTGAGGATTAAAAACATACCAACACTTGTGGCATGTAGTGAAAGCAGCGCTAAGAGAGAAATTAATAGCTCTAGATGCTTACATTACAAAAGAAAGATCTCAAATTAACAACCTGACTTTGTTACCTTAGGAAACTAGAAAAACCAAAGCTAATAGCAGGACAGAAGTAAGAAATATTACATGAGAAATAAATAGAATAGAGCATAGGTAAACAATAGAGAAAATCAGTAGAACCAAGAGGTGGTTCTTTTAAAAAAAAACAACAAAATAGATTAACCATCTACTGAATAGATTGAATAAGAAAAAAAGGAAGACTCAAATAACTAAAATCAGAAATGAAAGAGAGTACATTACAATAGATTCTATAGACATAAAAAGGATTATAAGAGAATATTATGAACAATTATATGCCAAAAAACTAGGTAACCTAGATTAAATGGACAAGTTCCTAGAAACACATAACCTATTAAGAATAAACCATGATGAAATAGAAAATCTGAACAGACTTATTACTAGTAAGGAGATTGAATCGGTAATCAAAAACCTCCCAAAAAATAAAAGTCCAGGAGCAGATGGCTTCACTGGTGAATTCTATCAAACATTGAGCGAAAAATTAATACCAGTCATCCTCAAAATCTTCCAAAAAAAGTAAAGGGGAATGAAACTTCTGAACTCACTCTATGAGGACAGCAATAGCCTGAGACCAAAGTCAGACAAAGAAACACAAGAAAACCACAGACTACTATCCCCAATGAACTGCGATGCAAAAATCATTACCAATTAAAATGGTTATACACCATGACCAAGTGGAATTTATTCCTGGAATGCAAGGATGGTTCAACATATGAAAGTCAGTCAATGTAAGACAGCACATTTCCAGGATGGAGACCCAAAAGCACGTGGTTATCAATTGATGCAGGAACAGCATTTGACAAAATTCAGCACCCTTTTATGAAAAATACTCAACAAACAATGAATAGAAAGAAACTATCCCAAAATAATTCAAGCCAGATATGAAAAGCTAACAGCATACTTGTTTGTGAAGACTGAAGACTCCTCTAAAATCTGGAACAAAATAAGGATGCCTGCTTTTGTCGCACCTGGTCAACATAGTACAAGTTCCTCCCACTAACAGAAAGTGGATTGTTCTATGGAACTTTTTGCAAGTCAAAATAGTGTAAAGCTAAAAGTGCCCCCCACTTTCAGGAAGTGGGGGATACCTGTACTGGAAGTCCCAGGCAAATGAATTAGGCAAGAGAAAAGAAAACATCCAAATTAAAAAGGAAGAAGTAAAATTACCCCTATTCACAGACACCATGACCTTATGTGTAGAAAAGCCTAAACATTCCACCAACCCCCCCTCCAAAAAACTGTTAAAACTAATAAAGTAATTGTGTAGTTGTGAGGGATTTAGAAGAGGGGGAAATGCGGGAGTTGTTTGATGAATATGGTTTTAGTTTTGCAAGATGAAGTTTCTGTAGATTGGTTGTACAACAGTGTGAATGTACTTAACACTACTGAATTCAGCAGTTAAAATAGGTTTAAGTGGTAACTTGTATGTTTTGTGTATTCTATACCATAATGTAAAAAAAAAAAAAGTAACATAAATTGGTTCCTTCAAAGTTCCAGTGCAAGCCTGGCAATATCTCACTTCTTCTTTTGAGAAACAATATGTGACAAACCTCAAAGTTGTATTTGGAGCTCGGTAGCACGGCGGCACCACAGTGTAATGGACTTTCAAGCAATATTGTGAATTTCATGATGTTATTCTCAATTGTCAGCTGGTGCACCATTGAGTAATGATAGGACACTGAAAAAATTAAACCATTAGGTCTATATTTCTAATTTCTAAAAAAGGAATAAATAGCAACAACAACCTTTGACTATATCATTTTCTTAATGGAGATTGTTATCCTTTAGAATGGCATTGTGTGCAGAATCATTTGTGACCACTTGCAGTTTATTTGTAAGCATTTCACTGAACTAGTAAGGTAGATATGACCGTTTCTGGGTAAATGCCTTCATAGCTTAATATGACTAGTAATCCAAATTCCAGAAATTTCTAAGAGGTTTAAAAAATGCATGCTGTTAATATTTTAGGGATTTCTTTCCATTGCTTTATCAGCAAGAATATAATAATGCAGTGGGGTAAAATTAAAATAAGAGGTAGCATGGTATATTGATACAACATTTCTAGATTCTAATCTTGTGTCATGTTTCTAATCATGTGACTTTGACCAGTTTTTAAAATCTTTCTGATTTCATTTTGTAGCCTGGACATGATAATACCTATCCTATTGATTTCCTGGGCTGCAGAGATTTGGTTATCTGGAATAGGGTGCCCATGAATTCTTCCCTGACAGGCCAGCACACCAGACCTCAAACAATGTGCTTGGGACATGTTTTTCCCCCAACAAATTAATTATGAAGGAGCTAGAGTGTGTATTCATTTTGAAGGAGCAGATATGGGTCTAAGGTGATATTAATGTTCATTATTGCTGCTATTTTATGTATTTTTGTTTTATTCAAATGCTATTGGTAGTGTGTCAAGCAAAATACCTTTTACATTGTGTAAATCATGGAAGGCTCTTCAATTTGTAGAGCAATAAAGCCTTCAGAGTTATTAACAATTAATAAGCAATTTGAAAATATACTCATTCTGGGGCCAATGAGTGAAAATTTTTTAAAATGAACCTACCTCTTGTTATTGAATCAGATTGCTCTCTTTCATTTAGTTCCTGTCCCAGTTATACTTCTTCCTTATGATTCAGAGAGCTGAAGCCCTTCTAACAAATGAGAGCATCCGTCGTTTTTATTGTTATCTTTGTCCATAAAGATGTGGTGTTCACATACCTTTTAATATATTTAGAATGTTCATATTGTAGTAGATTGATGTTGATATTTTAAAAATGTGCGTTTTCGTGTTTTTCAACTTTAGAGCCATAGCTGATTACCTTTAGTAGAAGCAAAGGCAAACTGGCCCATCCACCCCTCTAAGGGTTTGATCTCGTTAGAAAGGGTTCTAATCCAACGAGTTAACTTTATGGAAAAAAAGCTTTTCATAGTCTGATGTTTCTTTTTAAGAAACAGCTTTATTGATACATTATTTGCACCTTCAAGATCACATGTTTAATGTGTGAAAGTCAGTGGGTTTAAATATACTAACAGTTATGCACTCATTACCATATTCCAATTTTAGACCATTTTCATCAGCCTGCTCCCAAAATCCTTGTATCCATTAACCCTTTCTTCCTCACGTTTTTACCTAGGTGATCACTCATCTATTTTTCATTTCTGTGGATTTGCCCATTTATTTTAGATAGGGTCATATTTAAAATAAATATGTGGTCTTTTATTACTGGCTTCTTTCACTAATCATAATGTTTTTGAGATTCATCAATTTTGTAGTTTATCAGCACTCCATTCTGTTTTACTGCTAAGTAATATTCAGTCATATGGATATTCCACATTTTGTTTATCCATTCATCAGTTGATGGACATTTGGGTTGTTTCTACTTTTTGGCTATTGAAAAAATGTTTCTTTAAACATTTATATTGAAGTTTTTGTGTGGAAATCTGTTTTATTTTCTTTTGGGAAGATACCTAGTAGTGGAATTGCTGGGTCAAATAGTAATTCTATTCTTAACATTTTGGAGAACCACTGCACTGTTTTCCAAAACTGTTGCATTGTTTTGCCTTTCCACTAGCAATGTATGAAGATTCCAATTTCTCCACATTCTCCCAACATGCATTATCATCTCTTTTTCATTATAGCCATTCTGGCAGGAGTAGAATTCTATTTCATAAATCAGATGTTTCTTAAGCAGACCCATGCAGGCCTGTAAATATTTTTTCTTTAAGAATTTATTTAAAAAAAATTCATATTGACAGTAACTTTGAAAAAGAGGGACTAGAACTTGACTCTGGGTCATCTGGATGACTGAGCATCTTTTAACCACAGATGGCCGCACACTTCCAGCGTGCACATTTACTTGGTATCTAAAAGTACATGGGCACCAAGAAACAAAGCATGAATTTTTAACATGCTGATAGGAATAGAGGAGGACCTAATATGTAAATCATGTATTTTTGCCAAGAGGCAGCCAAATTATATTTGGTTTCTCATCTCAGTTAATGCCCTAAGTCTGCGATTTCCAACCTTTCTCATCTCGTGGCACACATAAAGTAATAATTACTAAAATCCTCTGGTATACCCCAAAATATATTTTTTGCTAAACTGACAAAAAAGAAGTATAATTTGATTCATTAACACTGGATGGCTATTGTTCTTTTGTTGGCTATTGTCATTATTTTATTAGACAATCTAAGGGAAATGAGGTCAGTGCCCCTAACTAAATAAAGAGGTCAGGTATTACATGTTTTAAAAATTCTTGTGGCACACCAGTTGAAAATCATCTCTAAGAAACAGAAGTTTCTCAGTACTTAAATAGAGAAATGGTTAGATATTTGAATTATCACAGTGCTATAGGAATGATAAATGCAAAAGAATTTATCCATAGCAATCAACTTGGTTGCCATAAAAGTTCCATGGTTATTTGGTTTTTAAGCTGTGAGTTGATTTCAGCAAAAGACTAGCTCTTTACAGTGTGATAAAATTCTTTTTAAAAAATCGTTGGTGTTTATAAATGTATGAGGACTGTTCAGAAGGTTTCTAGTCATGTAATAGAAGAAATAGAGACATTTATTCAAGATGATACAAGAAACATTGTACAGAGGACAATGATGTCTCAGTCCCCTTCAAAGTAGGCACTTTAGGACCTCACACAGTTCTCCCAGTCACCATCGGCTGCCCCATCACATTTTCCTGAATCTCACCAATGTTCTGAAATCTCTTTCCTTTCATTGGTGATTTTAGTTTTGGGAAAAGCCAGCTATCACAAAAGCATCTGGGTGATCTGATGCTTTGCCAAAAAACCTCTGCACGAGACATGATGCATGAGCGGGCATGTTGTCATGGTGAAGCTGCCAATCACCAGTTGCCCATAGCTGCAGCCTTCTGAATCATCCGAATAGTTTCCACGGAGGAATATTCAAGCTTAATGCAAAATTTGATGCAGATTCGTTGCTCTCCTCACTCAGTCATTTTGAATGCAACGGCCACACAGTACACATGCTCACTCAATAGCATCTACCATCCCCACTGACTTAGTACAGAGAAGCTGTCATTGTTCACACATGTGCATTCCAGTCCACTTTCCTTGGCTGCCAGGTTACATGGATGTCACGCAAACCATTCTTGTTATATTAGCAATGGCTGGACTTTTTCCGGACAGTCCTTGTATTTTGGCTTTATAATTATAAAATTTCCAATTGTATGTTTTTATATACTTACACAACATTGTAATAAATAAAGCAACTTAAGAAAACATTTAGGAATCATTCTTTTTTCTTTCCCCTAACGGGATTCACTTCTGGTTTGACTTTTGCAATCACTTATCTTTAGGTTTGTGCCGTTGGCTGTTTTCAGGGGTGGGCCTGGAGCTCTAGCGTCTGTGGCCTGTGAGACCTAAAGTTTGTGTTTTCACTTGTTCGAAGCATAAGCTTAGTAGTTTTCTTAATGATTTGTTTTAAAAGCCATCCCGGTTTTAAAAGAAGTATTAGGGAGAAATGATTTCTTTGTACTGTACATACACATATTTTTCACAGCTTTGTCTTATTTCCCCTGGCAGCTTTTAATTTCACAAATAATCAGTATGCAGTTCCAGTGCTTTTGGCTATGTCTGGGTCTTCTAAGCATCTCAGTTCATGCAGAATTGATGGATGATGATGTTGAGAAGACAGACTTCGATGAAAATTCAGGAGAGACTGATGTTAATGAAGATGAACTCTCCTCAGAGGTAAGGGTATCGAGAAATCAGTTATAAATTATTCTTTTACATGATACATAGGAGGGACTAATCTCTTAGCATCAGTTTCAGTCATAATAGTCTTTATTTTCTAAATAAATAGAAAAAACACTGCTTTTTTCCCCAACTGGTTGTTGCTTTGTGTTTTAGAGTACTCACGTACTACAGAAATTTGTACATGGCACTTAGCATGGTTTTATTACCAAATAAATATGGGGAAGGTATTTATTACCAAAATAGGAGGAGTTCGTCCCTGGCTGAAGAGGACCGAGCACTTCTAGCTGAGGGAAAGGTCTTCGGTCTTACCTCTGGCACTGCCTGCTCTCCTTAGGAAAAAAGCAAAAAGGCGGTATTATTTGCAGTTCTCCTGGAAGTAAAGTGAGCAGCTTTTCTTTTATTTATTTGAAGAAAGCTGGTAGGAGGGTGAACGAGGAAGGGACGTGGTGAGGCGGCGGGCAGTTGGTGAGCGCAACTGTCGCTGTCCCTGCGCTGTTGGCACCTGCCGCCCGGCGGTGGCTGCCGGGCGTCTGAAGAGCTTGGCGGAGACTTTGTGCGCCCTGCCAACCCATAAGCGCTGTCACACTGAGGGATATTCATATATAATATTAGGGCAATCGGATTTTTTTTTCAGGAATATCTTTGATGGTGAGGAAGCATCTATTGTATTGTGCCAGCTACTGTGTAAAGGGCCTACAAGAGTAATATATAGTTGTTACAGACTTCTCTGAGAGTTATTTATTTGCAAACGCAAGTGCTGTTCCGTTGTTTAAGGTGAATATTTGTTCTCCTGTTAAACTTTCAGCTCTGCAAGCACATTCTTTTAAAATGTGGTTCTGTGAACCCCAGAAAGGAACTAATCAAAGTGCTAGTGACTGAGTTAGATGCCGCTGCTACAGGGTCTTGGGAGGTGACTATTCAGACAAATTGGCAGGTACCTACCCCTCTTAACTCTGCTCGGGGTTAATTTGAAAAGATGCTAAGAAGCAGGAAAGAAGGTTTTTGACCTTCTCACGGTATAGCATGAGCAGTCCAGGTACGGTAAAGGGCAGCGACAGGGCCACACGATCCACGGGAGGTGCCCAGGCCCCCGTGGCACCCCTGCCCGGCCTCCATGGTGCCGGCCGGTCCCGGGAACCGCGCGCGCAGCGGGGCTGTGGTCGGCGAACGTCCTGTAGGCTGGCTGTTGCCCTCGCAGAATCCTGACCGTCAAGCATTACGTGGAATTTTGTTTCATTACTGACTTTCTTCCCTTAACGGGTAGGGAACGTTATACTCTCAGGTCAGGGCAGGGACAATGAAAATAGAAAAAGTACTTCTGCATCCTTTTCTCTTATGGCTAAGAGAAGAAATCTCATAATTAACCGTACAAATGAAATCACAAAGTCTGATTCAGAAAGGACCCAGATTTATTTATTATGTGTGGCAAAATTGAATTATTCATCATCAATTCATATTATCTTCTGATAATTTTTCAATAAATTCTCGTTAATCTTTTGAGTCATTTTGTTGGTGCGTTGTGCAGAGTGTGGCGGTTAAGGCACAGGCTTCGGAGCCAGACGGCCTGCGCTCCCACCTGTACGCGCGGCAGGACCGAGCGGTGACGCAGCGGGCGAGCCGCTTTGCCTCCCTCCTGCTGCGTCATCGTGCGTGAAATGGGCGCCACCCCAGGGCTTTGCTCACAGATGCGCTGTGAGGATGAAAGAGCCATCACCCCTCCGCCATCACCACCGCCACCGCCTCTCCCAGCCCTAGGGTCATCATCCTTTTGGCAGCTGTGCAGACGCTCCGCTCTGCAGTGCGTTCTCTGCTGAATGCTGCTCTTCTCTGGGTTCCGAATTGCTCAGCGTAGTGCCATCATCCTCTAGTCGCATATCAGTGCCAGTTAAGAGTTAATTTTAAACTGGCCTACATGCTTACTAAGTTCTTCATCTTACATGTTTTTGATCATGCTATTTCTTCTTTTGCTTCTAATGATTTATATCCCCAAGTATTGTCACCTGCTAGAATTCTTTTAAGGCCATGGCCACTGTGTCACGAGGCCTTCCCTGTCACTTCTTCCCATTCCTTCTCTGTCGGAAGGAATCGGTGTACCTTCTGCCTGCGCATGTAGTATTTTTTCCATCGTTGTCTCTCGTACATTCTCTTGTATCTTACCACCAGTAGGATGCACAGCTGTGAGGTCAGAGACCATACCTTATATCCGTACTACCTACTTGTCCATATGTAATAGGTTCTTACCCAGTGAGATTATTTATTAAAATATTTGTGAAGATGAATAACTTCAGATTTTTTAAAATTATTTTCTAGATTAAATATAAAACACCTCATGCCATAGGAGACGTATATTTTACAGAAACTTTTGATAGTGGAAGATTGGCTGGGTAAGTATTCATGCAAGGGAATGTTTCCCTTGACTTGATGAGCTTTTTTGAAATTATTGGTTATTGGCCCATGAAAATTGTCCCTACTATGCTAACTATAAAGAAAAGGTAAAGTGCTTTATCTGACAGTGTAAATGAATACCTCGACACATTTTTATTTATAGAAATATTTAATTTGTATAGTTATTTATATAAAGAAAATAAATGAAATGTGAATATAAAGTAAAAATTTTAACATTTCTTCATCCCTTAGGACAGATAGCAATAGCCTAATTTGATGTGAGAAATTCAATTTACTCTTCCATTCTAAGTAATGGTAACACAATAAGTTATTGCTTACTGATTATTATGTGCCGGACACTGTCCTAAGTAGGTAGGTAGGTATTATCTTTACCTCATTTTACAGGTGAGGAAACTGAGGCTTAGTGTATTTTATCCATGATCATACAGCTAGTAAATTGCAAATTGCAAATTTGATTTAACTCTAACCTTGCAAGAGGAGGTTTAGGCATCCTTATTTAGTCTCTAAGTATTTATTTTTGAATGAGAAGTAACTGTTGGGTATTTTTTTTTTTTTGTATTTCTAATATGCATTGTATCTATAAATCTCTGATTTTATTTTTAATGATGTTCATTTGCTTTTACCTGTATTTATAGGTGGGTCCTATCAAAAGCAAAGAAAGATGATACAGACACAGAGACTTCTATATATAATGGTAAAATATTTGTTTAAATATTCAGTGTAACTAGTATTTAAATTTGTTTAAATATTCAGTGTAACTAATAACAAAGTTCACTAGCTTTTGAGATTATATTTCTATTAAATATATCTATTTAGGGCCTCAGTCATCACAATAGAACATTCAGTCTTTTTCCCTTTCCAGTATTTCTAGAAGCCTTCCACTAATTTATACTGAAGCCACCAATATTAGCTTTCTTTACAGTACTATCTAGTATTCACAGCACTTAATGATAGCTTTTGTCAAGTGCCACTTGAGTAAGATTGATTTCAATATTTCAGGAGTAAGCAAATCTGCATAAAACATTATGTGCTGGATATAGGATTTGTACTGGGAGTGGACTTATTTAAATTTTTCAGATTAAGTTAATAAAAATATAATATATGTTACATATCAATTCTTTAAGTGATCAACTTTCAGGATGTCTTATAAAACCATGTACATTTTTTTTGAAGTTTTATTCAGAATTTATATTACCTGCTATTGTCTGCTTTTGGGTAAATGGTTAAGAGAAAGTTATTGTTTATTTGAAGTTGGGAAAAATCTCTTGTCTTTGAGGAATAATTACTTTGGGACAAGTTTTCTAAAATTAAAGTGCTAGATGGTACCTTTTTCATAGCTGGTAAGTGTCTCTGCATAATTACAAAAACGGCAATCTTTTAAAAATTCTTTATTGTAAATATCCTAAAAACGCTAAGCATAAGGTTGTTACTTCTTTTTTTTTTTTTTTAAAGATTTTATTTATTTCGTTTTAGAGAGAGAGGAAGGGAGGGAAAAAGAAAGTGAGAGAAACATCAATGTGTTGTTGCCTGTCATGCACCCCCTACTGGGGACCTGGCCTGTGACCCAGGCATGTGCCCTGACTGGAAATCGAACTGGTGACCCTTTGGTTTGCAGGCTGGTGCTCAATCCACCCAGCATGCCAGCCAGGGCTCAAGGTTGTTACTTCTTAAAAGGCCTTTTTTTGTCTTGGTCAAACCACACATTGGTAGTAATAATACAATTTATCACCATTGTGAGAGAAGAAACATCAGATAAATTCATCTTTTTAAGAAAAGTATAGTATAACCAAATTAGAGGGATGTAAGCAAAAGATACCCAAAAACTTTTAAAATTTCATTTTTAAAAGTCCAATGAAGTCTGCACAATTATATACCAAAACATCTCTCTGATTCATAAGACTGGTTTGGGTTCTTGCACTGTGGGTGTTTTCTTTTTTTTTTAATAAAGAAAAAAAGTAATATAAACAGCATTAGTGATTCAAAACTGCCTGTTAATATTTCAAATTGGCACAATACTGGGAAATAATTTTTGTTAAACTGAGGTTTTTTGGGGGGGGGGAATAGGCAATCCTAGAATTTTCAAAAGTAGAACAAATTAATATAAGTTGGTTATATTTTTTTCTAAAAAGAGGAAAGAAGAAAAATCCAATATACAACATTTGGACCACAGGTATTGTACGCAGTCCACGATCTAATCTCAGGAGCTTCCTGACCTTAAACATGGGAGAGTTCTGGCTTAGGGAGGGCCTGACTCAGCTTTGCAGCCGCCCAGCTTTGTGCTTATCCAGAGCTTGCTGCACTCTCTGCCAAGGTTCTGAGAGCCGGCCGGCCGGCTGGGCGTGGGAGGGGCGGCTGCAAGTTATGTTCACTGGGCGTACAGTTTTCCAGATAAAATTTAAATCCCCACAGTAACATCTGCAAGGTAAGAAAAGCAGCCATTAAATACCATGTATTTCCAGATACAGGAGACTGAGGCAAACCACACACCTTGCATGAAAGATGCTGTTCGTCTTGTATGTAATTTTAAACATCTCATTTTTAAAATACAATGTTAATAGACCTTATGACAAAGGATATTTTGTAACTTAATTGATTAAGAAGTATTTCAGAGAAATCCAAACTAAGCCAGCTTTCAAAGGGCTTTAATCAGATACCATAGTGTTTATTATTTATTAGTTTCCACAATTTTAGCTAGAAAATGAAACAATTCTCTGGTAAGAGAAAAAGGAGTAGATATTATTTCCTGATTTAAATTTTTAAAAACATTTTCCTGACTCAGCCTACACAGAAAAATCTTATTGCTCACCACTGCTGATAAATAATTTTTAAGTCAGTGTTTTGGTTGTAGTTGAATTTGCTCTGCTGTATATTTTAGGAAGATGGGAAATAGAAGAATTGAAAGAAAACCGAGTGCCTGGTGACAGAGGACTGGTGTTGAAATCCAGAGCGAAGCATCACGCAGTGTCTGCGACATTGGCAAAGCCCTTCGTTTTTGCCGATAAACCATTGATAGTTCAGTAAGTTTTGTTTTTGAACATTTTCTGAAATTTATATTAGCTTATATAATTTGACTTCTGAATATAGCTAGTTATAAAATGGGCATAAAAATTCAGATTTTCCTTTTCAGTGTCACTTAAACACACAATGCATGTCTACACACAAGCACCCCAAGGTTTTGACTGAAAAGCAGATTGATTTAAAAATAATAGACATAGTGGTTGCATCTAGACATAATAGGATAACTAAATTATGTTTACAATTATAGATACAATTTATAAATTGTTCTTTCTCATTCTTAGCTTTTCATAGAACTTTTTCCTTAAATCACCTGTATCACTCTTAATTTTATTTTACCTAAAATAGTGAATGTGTACATTTAAATCATGTGTGCACCATTTATTTACTTTATATTCTTCAAAGACATGAATTCCTTTATCAGCTACAGCTTAAAATTAAAATATTAATAAGGCTTTGAGGAAAACAAACGGTCCTTTATTTAAAAAATAGAAAAAAACAAAACAAATCCTTTCTTCTGATCATAAGAGAAGCTGACATTTTGAGCATTTATTGCCCCCCGCCGTGCGGGGTGCCCTTTAAGCACCGTGGTGGTCCTTCGCGGCGCAGGTGCGGGCAGTGGGCCCGTCGGAGAGATGAGCAGACAGAGACCTGGTGCTTCATTTATTTGCCTTTATCCTTGGTGTCTCCAAAGGAAGTAGCAGAATCAAGAATAAATCTCAGGTCTTTTTGACTTCGAAGTTCATGCTTATTATATTACTTTATTGCTTATATTGTAGAGATCTTGAGAAACACAGCAGAGTAAAATAGGGGGAAAATCATCATTAGCTGGCAACTCAGAGATAAGCACTTAAAATGTCTCTCTGTTTCCTGTTCTTTTCAATACAAAATACACACACTGATTGGGTTCAAACTATGAAAGTTTTGTACACTATGCTTTATGGTCACTAAAGTTTCTTCAGAAAGATTTTAAACAGTAGTCCATTAAAATTACCACTAATTCCTGTTGCTTCTCTAGTTTTCTTTTTTAAAAAAATTCATTAAACAAATTATAACCTATTTGCTTTTCACTGATAGCTATTTCCTCACAGATTTTTGTCATGTATTATTCACCAGTTTACCAAAATTCTCTTCTAAATACAGTCCAATAAGTCTATGTCTTATTGCCTAAACAAGACAATTTCCTTAATTTTTACTTTTGCTGAGAATTACTCAGTGTTATAAATCCACAAAAAGACTCTGATGTCAGTTCACTTAGCTGTTACAGTGTACAAGGGGGCCCCCCCAAAACCAGGATTTATCTATTAAAAATTGTGTATTTAATCTTACATGTTTACACTTCAGTCACTTCCAAAGTGCTCCTCATTTTATGCAGTACAGCTATTGAGACTTTTTTCCACTGCTTAAAACAATTTTTGAACTCATCAATTTTGATTCCTTTTAGTGCTTCTGCCCTTGATTGCTTCACCTCTATCACATTGACAAAAGGTTTCCCTTTGAGAATTTTTTTCATCCGGGAAACCAAAAACAAGGTCACTCGGTGTAAATGGGTGAACAGGAAGGGTGGGTCCTGCCATTTTTGGTCAAAAACTGCTGAACACTCAGCAAAGTCTAGGCAGGTGCACCTGTAAATTATCCATCACGAAATGGGCAAACATGTTGAAAGAGTCTTCAGAAATATTCACTGAAGCCAAAAAAAGTCTCTCACAACAACGCCAGCTCGTGCACTGATACAGAAGGGTTCCTAGAACACTCACAAGCGGGGGGAGCCTGTACCACAAGGGGCCCACCCTCCAGAAGACAATTCTGGGTTTTGGGGGGTCCCCCTTTGTATTTCCCATATCTTCTGGCTCTTAAAGTCTTAAATACTCCAGGTTATTGATTGAGATTATGAAATCTCTATGCTGAAGGTATTTAATTAAATACACAATTATTTAACATGGTTAGGTATAAATTAACTAAAAGACAAATTAGTAGTGAACCCAAATATCTAAGATCATTAGCAATTTCTTAGAAATCTGTTGCTGTCTTTTTCAGTCTGTTAAGAAATACGTATAGTGAATTCCTTATCTGAATTTGAAGTTTCCTATTATAGCTTTAGTGAAACTATTTTATTCTTAATTCATCAGTTTTGATGGAAAAATTATTTCAGAAATTAGTTGGCTTTTTAATAGTTGATAATCATTCTACTTTTAATATTTAAGGATGTGCATAGAAAAGAGCATTTCTGCTTATTTCCTCTAGGTTGTGGATAAGCTTATTGTGGGCTTTCTGGCAATGTAAAACATTTATGTTTAAATGAATTGAGAATGCTATATTAGATTTTAAAGAGCAATTAGTAATTTTTATTTATCAGCAGTATGATTTTTTTCCCTTTATTTAGATATGAAGTAAATTTTCAAGATGGTATTGATTGTGGAGGTGCATACATTAAACTCCTAGCAGACACTGATGATTTGAATCTGGTATGATATTTTAATGTTTAAGAAAACTTTATTAAAGTTTACAAGTACTTTAAGGAGTAATTGATAAAACTGAAATTTTTATTTCCAACTGAAATGGAAAAGAACTTTGAAAATAGTTACCTTCATCCAGCATGAGTTAATGTGGCTTTTGCAGTGTGCCTTCAAGTTTCACGCACTGAAGTGTTACTTGATTGCACCTGTTTTCGTAATCTTTAACAACATAAAAACAAATGCCATGTCTACAACTAAGAAATAACATGTTACTTATAAATGTCACTGGGAGATCAGCTTAGAGTCAATTTTCTTTCCAAAATAAGAATCGTAAATTTGTAAGAAATAAGATAACAGAGCAAAGAAGTGAAACAAAATGACCGAAGAACTAAACTAAAAGGCTGGGCCAGTTCCCCACAAAAAACAGCGAAACACATTCTCCCAATGAAGCAGGCTGTATCAGGAAGTCTGCAGGCGAGGAAGGAGGCGTTCCTTCCCGTGTCCTCCTGCAGGAGGCTGTGCCAGCCTTGTGGCAGGAAACAGAAATGAGGTAGATGAGGCGATGAGACACTTGTTGGAGTCCATGGCACTATGCAGACTGTGAAAGGCGGAGTAAGGCATTCATGTGCTGTTATTAGGACCCGGTAAAGGGGAGGCTCTAGGTAGTATATGTGGAAGGTCTCGTTTTAGGTATTGTCAGGCGACGATCACCTGAAGGTGTAATGACAATAATGAAATGTAATGCCAAGTATTTATCTAAGCACTTTATCTGATTAGCTCAGTTAATCCTCAGAGAAACCTTATAAGGCAGGTACTATTATTACATCCATGCCTCAGAGGTGATAAATTAAAACTACAGGGAGGTTAAGAAATCTGCTTAGAGGCACAGGCAGCTCATTTAAGTGGCGGTGGTAGGATTTGAACCCCAGCACCTGACTGCAGATCCCATGCCCTCAACCAGTCGGCCACATTAAATAAAGAGAAATTACTCATAGTAAACCAGTAGTTAAAACAGTCTCTGTGTGTTTTTGTGTCTGAATTTCTCTTCCTTCTGCTCAGGAAGGTCATTTTTCTGGTGTATTCCTGAATAATAGTAATGGATAATCATTGTAGTCTTGAGGTCATAGGTATCCTTTTCTCTATGCTCAATTTTCTTAATAAAATATTAATAATACAAAAGTACAAATTTACATAAAGTCATTAAAGCTTATTATGATGTTGCCAGGGTGGTTTCAGCTTCCCTCCTACATGTTTATGGAGGAAGTAGTGTGTGCTTTAAAAATTATTTATTTTGAAATAAAATTTGCCATTTCTCCACATCCTTAATTGTCACTTGTGTCAAATAATTCCTTGGTGAATTACCATTTAACATAGTTTTGTAAAGTCTACCCAGCTAGACAGAAAGAGAAATTCGTTAAATACTCTAATTCTGAACTAATCCCATCACTCATCTTTCTTTGAAGGAAAACTTTTATGATAAAACATCTTATACCATTATGTTTGGACCAGATAAATGTGGAGAAGATTATAAACTTCATTTTATCTTCAGACATAAACATCCAAAAACTGGAGTTTTTGAAGAGAAACATGCCAAACCTCCAGATGTAGACCTTAAAAAGTTCTTTACAGACAGGAAGACTCATCTGTACACCCTTGGTATATCCTTTTCATTCATTCATTCATTCATTCATTCAGAAATATTCGTTGACCATGGATCTATTCATGGCAAATGTTTTGGGAAAAACAAACGTGGATTCTACCCTTAAGGAGCTTATCTTTTTAGGAAAATAAGACAGACATATTTCTAGTGTAGGTGGAAAGTAAAAGTACTGTTTGCGAGGTACAGCTGAGGTGCAGCCAAGAGTTCAATGTCACGGCCAGTTTGGGGATCCTGAGAAAGCCTGGTGAAGGAGACCGTAGCTGAACTAGTTTTAAAGTGTAGATAGAATGTAGAAGATAGGCAAAAAGGCTGTTTTAGACACTGTGACATTCGGGATGCTGTAAGAATAGAGAACTGGGAATGAGGTGGAAGAGAAGGACGTCTAAGGCCACACTGAAAAGCTTTGATTGTGTCCCTTGGGCAGGTGCGATGATCCTCAGGTCCTGCCTCGTGGTGGCTGTGGCCGTATTTAAACTTTGAAAGGGAAAGCACTGAGCTGCCATGTGTTAGCATAGTCAGTATTTGCAAAGTATTAACATCCTTTGCTTGATGTAAATAGGAATTTGCGTAGACATGGAGGGGGCAAGACGTTACAAGGGGTTGTTTCTCCCGTTCTCAGCACGTATGGTGGTGGGGCTGTGGTCTGCCCAGGGTACATAAAATCAGAGTGCGTCAGCGCCCAGCAGGACGACCACGTCCGAGGCTAAGGTGTCAGCTTCCTTCCCAAGGGCTGCAGGTGCAGAAATGCTCATTTGGTCTGCCAGGGCAGGGACCACTTTCACTTTTAATGTTCCCGTTGGCATCAAAGACCATATGGTGCCACTGGAATGTAGTACTGGACATTTTGGGGAACGTAAATTGTAGAAATTGTGCGAAAGTGTAACTAAAACAGCAAATGAATTTAATCGGAGTTTACTGTACGAACCTGGTCAGAGGCAACTTGGTAGGATATGATAAAGGCCATAAGAGGTTTATGTCCTTTGAAACACAATCCCACTTTCAGGAATTCATCCAAATGACCTCTGTGTGAAAATATAATACTATTAATTAGAAGCGACCCAAGTGTTCCAGTAGGAGTTTTCTGTAACAATACAAAATAACTAAAATGTTTAGCACCAGGAAAGAAATGCTTATGATGTTAAAATGGGGAAAGAAAACAAGACTCAAGAGGCATATCACGAAGGCCACTGGGCAAAGTATGGAAGCACATGGAAAAAGACTAGGAAAAAAACTAATTGTCATTATCTCATATGCACTGTGCTCTGTGCTAGACACTTTGTTTAGAACCATTAAGTGAGGCGAGCAGTTTCTACTTTGCCTCAACTTGGTGTAAGTAACTTGTTCTAGGAAGTAACTTGTTACTACTGATAGGACTGGAATTGAAATTTAAGTCTGACTCAAACATTTGCTTTTCTTACTACTTACTGTACATGGAAACTGTTGTGCTAAAATTGAGTGACTTTTTTCTTTTAAAAAAACCTCTGTAATACAATTATATTTTTATAACATTGTTCTATAATTGTTCTAAACCTAACAGAGTACCTTAAAGGACTTTACAATCCAATGCTTTTAATAGTAGACTCATTTAAAATAATTAGTAGAGTTTTCTATGTGGAATTTTTTTTTTTGTCCAAAGGTTTTGGACAAAGATTTGTTGTTGTTTTTTTTTCATATACGCCTATTTGTCGGGTGCTTTTTTGTTTTAACTGTAGTTTTAAAAAGTTAATGTCAGTTGCAAAATTTGTTCAGAAAACATTCTTTTCAAGATTTTGAGAAACCCCTTTTTTGAATTAGGAAGAATCTAGTTATTACAGTTTTGCATTTAAGGTCTTACTCTTAGCTTGACTTTTTTCCTTCGTTGCAGTAATACTGTGTTATAATTTCAGCTGTTAATAGAAGAGAAAATATGGAGAAAAAAGAGAAGGGAGAAAATGTTGAGTGTCCTTTTGCATTATTTGAGTTCGTATATAAACTACAGTATTTGATCTCGACGTAAGTTGGCCCCACTGTGACTGAAGGCCCTGGAGACTGGTACGACGCCTGCGTTGCTTCTCCAGGAAGTGGTGGCCCGTTTAACCGATGAGTCGGGGTGACTTGTTGGCAGCCCCTCCTTCCGCAGCATATTGAAGGCAAACGTTAGGCAGCTATTTTCATCTGTCATTCTTTTCAGAGATATAAATTTTACCCAGGGACCCCCTTCCGTGTTTACAGAAAGAGGAGAGAGCTTCTCTCTTGTCGTTACAAAGGATAAGGCAGTTCCTTATGAAATTTTTGGCATGAGGATGTTTAGAGAGCTAGAGTTAACCTCAACATACTGATAAGTATAAGCTTGAATAATTCCAATCATCCATAAAATATTTATACAGTTTATCAGTCACTAAATTTGAAATGCCAATGAACTTTAAGGACTTCTAGGAAATGATAGTAATGTGTTGATATTAATTTCCTAGATTGTAGGAGAATGTCCTTGTTTAATATACATTAAAACATTCAAGAATGGTGTCTATGAGGTCAGTGACTCACTCTCAAGTGGTTCAGGAAAAAAATGAATTTTTTTGTAGTGTATGTGCGACTTTTAAAAGTTGAGGTTGTTTCAAAAAATTATTTTAAAACACTAAAGAAAATTGGGTTGTATTCTGTAACTATAAAAGAGTGAAGCTGCCACGTTGTGGGAGTCCCCAAGTGAGGTTTTATTTGAAAAGTAATAGAGTATTTTATTAAATTATTATTAAAATTTTAGTTTTGATTTTAAAAAGCGCTAAGTCTAGGGATTTCAGTATATCTTGATTTAATACCTTGCTACCTCCTCTATTTCTGGTGGAGAAAAAATTTTACCCATGAAGTTTAGGCTAGTTTTACTATTTAGAAGATTACTTTTTGAATGTCTATCAATATAACTATAATATATTTCCATTGGTCTTTAGTGATGAATCCAGATGACACATTTGAAGTGTTAATTGACCAAATAGTTGTAAACAAAGGAAGCCTCCTGGAGGACGTGGTCCCTCCTGTCAGCCCCCCGAGAGAAATTGAAGATCCCAGCGACGAAAAGCCTGCCGAGTGGGACGAAAGGGCAAAAATCCCTGACCCTTCTGCTGTCAAACCAGACGACTGGTGAGCACAGAGTTCAGTACTAAGGCGTTAATTGGCACAACTAGGTAATGACGCAAAACATGGAACTGAGGTTTACTACTAATGAGATGTATTCTGGTAAACATCAAAACTACTTATTTTGATTATTTTGGGTGAAATACTTTTCTAAAATGGATCTTGCACTTCCATGCTTTTTAATTATCTTAATTTTTATTTTAATTACTATTTTAATTTTATTCCTTTTTTCAATGTATTTTTATTTTTGTGCTTTCAGTGCTGTAGGGGACAATTATGTAAATAATTGTCAACTAATTTAAGGGACAATTGTCTCTAAATCTACCAACACTTTAATTCCTAGTTTAATCTTTAACATGTGTGTGCATATTTTACATAGTTGTTGTCTTTTCTATTACTTAGCCCTAAAATAGGCATATCTCCAATGTCTTATGAAAGCACAGAGGACTCACTCATGCCACTTTGCTTAACCGTAATTTTTTTTGCTAGCTGAGTTCATTTTTATTTTTCGGGATTATGAATATTTTCCCTAAGAAAAATGTATTCAGTTCATGAGTTCCCATAGCTTGATTTTTGACGCTGAGAGATACCTGTATGTCTCCTCATTTATGGGGGTGTTCTTTGTCCTTCAAATATGTGTTGTAATTTCTCCATAAAAATCTTGTTACCTTTATTCCTATGAATCTTTTTTTTTTTCCTCTGCTAATTGGGTAACAGTTTTGGTTTTGCTAAGTAGATTATCTGTCTTTTTGTATTTGACCCAATTTATCAGCTAGCTATTGCTCTGTAATAATTACCAAAAAATAGCAGCTGAAGACAAGAAACATTAACTCACCCAGTTCCTGAGAGCTGGGGATCTGGAAGTGGCTAGCGGAGTGGTGTGAATACTTGGTACGAGTTTATAAAATTCTGTTCTTTGTTTACTAAGAGTCTTTTTTTCCATGATTAAGTGTTGGATTTTTAAAATACATTTGTGCATGTGTTGAGATGACCATACAGATCTCCTTAATTTTTTTTAGCATGGTAAGTTATATTGATTAATTTTCTAATGTTGGACTAACCTGACAATCCACTTGGTCAACAAGTATTGTCCTTTATATATATATATTTGCTGGATTCTAATTGCATTTTTTTCTGTCAGATGTATTAAAGTAGAATTTCATGTTGTTAAATTCATATATTTTACATACAGTTGTTAGTTTCGATGAACATATACAATGATGTAACCGCCACCACAATCATGATACAGAATATTTACATCATCCAAAAAAGGCCCTTCATATTCTTTTGTAATCAGTCTCCACCTCCCGCCCTTAACCCCAGAGGGCAACCACTGATGTGATTTCTGTCCCCATTGCTTTGTCTTCTTTAGACTGTCATATAAAATGGAATCATACTGTGCATAGCTTTTGTTTCGGGCTTCTTTCACTTAGAATAGTGCTTTTCGAGGTTATTGGTTATTGCAGCTGTCGATGTGGTTGGATGTAAACCCATCATCTCACTGTTGTTTCCTGTTTGTCCCGTATATTCTGTGGGCCTTTACAACAAATTTTTCCTGACTTCTTTTGGATTGAGTTATTTTATTATATTTTAGTCTTCTATTTTTTCTTTTCTGTTCGCTTATTAGTTTCCACTCTGGTTACCTTTCAAATAGCATACCACTTCATGTCTAAAATAGGAATAAAAATAAGTGCAATAAAATGTTAGCCACTGTTGTTTGCAGGAATTGGGTTGGGAAGCGTCCATTACACATTTCTCTCTTCTGTTGCTGTTTTGTGAACATTTTCAGAACAAAAGAAAAAACACTTGAAGATGGATGTGGCCTGACAGCTTCTTGACCCTAAGTGAACCTTCTCTCCCTTCCAGCCTTTGCGCTTTTATCATACATTTACTTCCATATGTACTGCGAAGGCCATACATGTTTATTCTTCACTCAGTGTCTTTTAATCGACAGTTAGGAAGGGAAAAGCCCTTTTGTTTACCCACATATTGACCATTTCTGGTACTCCTATCTTTAGATACAAATTTCCATCTCTTACGGTTTTCCTTTTGCCTGATACACTTCTCTTAACACATTGTAGTGTGTGTCTGCTATCACTGAATTTTCTCAACTTGTATTTGCCTAAAAACTTCTTTATTTTGCCTTCACTTTTGAAGGATGTTTTCACCTTTGGATGAAGGTTGATAGTTATTTTGCAACAGTCATGTCTTGTCTTGGGACCTGCATTGCTTCTGGTAGGAAGTCATTTGTTGTTCCCATCCTTGTTCCTCTCTACCTAGTATGTCATTTTTTCCAGTTAGGTTTTAAGGTTAATTATTACTAGTTTTCAAGTTTGATTTTGTTGTGCCTTGATGTAATTTTTTGGTGTGTGTTATTGTTTTGGGTTCTTTGAGCTTTTTGGAATGTGGGTTTATATTTTGAAACAAATCTGGGTAACATTTGGCCATTATTTCTTTAAATAGTTATGTTATCCTCCCCATCTCTTTTTGGGGGACACCCCTTAATATATGCCAGACTGCTTTATATTATCCCAAAGGTCACTGAGGATCCACTCATTTTTTTAAACCAGTTTTTCTCTCTGTGCTTCATTTTGGAAAGTGTTTATTCCCATTTCTTTGAGTTCTTATTTGTTTGTAAACATTGAGGTTACTACCTATTCAGAACATAGAGTGTTGCTCCTGGAACCAAAAGTGTTAACTTGTTAACTCTCTTACAGATAAAGAGATAATGAAAAAAATGCCTTTGCTTTCAGGCAAATAGTATAATAGGGAAGTAACTTGTTCAAGATAGGAAGAACAGTATGGCTTTTTAAACAATAAAAAAATCACTTATTAGCGTATCACTTTATGAATTTATACTATCAGAAAAGGTAGGACCCCATCCCTCCTTGTGGGTGTTTAATGTTGTTTCATATTTTTCTCCATAAAGTGTAATACTGGAACATAAGTTTGTTTTTAAATGAGAGAAACTGCATATAGAAACCTCATTCTGATTGGTGGTATATATTAGAAGTGTGTGTGTGTGCGCGTGTGCGCGCTAAAAGAAATGCTTCCTTAGATCTTAAACTCTGCTTACTCTGAGCCCTAGAAACTGAAGATAACATTGATTTCAGGGAAGTACAAGTTTTTACATATAGAGAGTAGTTTCAATTTATTTGGTTAAGTTTTGTTTGGAAAATTATATTGTAGCCTCTTGTGTAAAATTTCTACTCGCCTATAACAATGAAAATTATGTTAGTAGTTCTGTTCAGTACATATTATGATTATGTTTATATATTTTAGAATTTACTGTTATTTTTAAATTAAAATATAAAATTATTAAAATTAAATACAGAGTTTAAAAAATATTAGAGTAGGGAAGACCTTTCCAAATACGAAATAAAATTGAAAAATCAAAAAAGAAAATACTAATAAAATTTAACTACATTAAAATAAATTATTTGTATGTGGCAAAAAAGAAAAAGAAAAACCATAAACTATAATTTAAAATACATGAGAAACTGGAAAAATATTTTAAATTCATATAGCTGATAGAGGGCTAATTTCTTACCAATTTTTAATATATTCCAGGGTATTATTTAAAGCCTTATTTGTAACAGTGAGACTGGGGGAACAGTGAATGTCCCTCAGCCAGAAAACAGAAGACGACGCAGCTGGCCGGGAAATGAGGCCGAGATCCGTGCAGCTAGAACAGGCGCCCGAGGGCAGCCTTCCCGCACAGTCAGCGTCCAATATGTGTTTGTTGCTGACTGAGTGAGCTTTTTAAGTGACAAGGCAACATTTAATACACTTTGTTTAGAATGCTCGTTGTATTAAAAAAATATATATACATATGTGCACATCTACATAGAGCACAACAGGGGACTATATGCAAAAGCAGTGGCCAGTTAGCAGAGGATGGCGGGTGAGAGAGGGGAACGGGGGGCGGGGCATAGTGAGCACAAGGACAGGAGGGTGGGAACTAATTTATGTAAAATGCTGTGTTTACAGGGATGAAAATGAACCTGCCCAAATAGAAGATTTAAGTGTTGTGAAACCTGACGGCTGGCTTGATGATGAACCAAAATTTATTCCAGATCCTAGTGCGGAGAAGCCCGAGGACTGGTAAGCTCTCCTCACCTCCAAAGGTCAATCGTCTTCTTTCTCACTTGCTTTTTGTTACTAGTGTATGTGACCGAGAGGGGAGTATGGAGGTTATGATACCTGCTTTGCTCTGATATCCTCAGGAATGAAGACATGGATGGAGAATGGGAGGCTCCTCGTATCCCTAATCCAGCCTGTCAGGTTGGGTGTGGTGAGTGGAACCCTCCCATGATGGATAACCCGAAATACAAGGGAGTGTGGAGACCTCCAATGATAGATAATCCCAACTATCAGGTAATAAGCACTCGTTCCAGTCCCACTGTAGAGTCAAAAATGTTATACTCTTCTATTGTAGATCTAGTAATTGATAATGTTAACTTTAGAAAATTGATTTGTAATAGTGTGCCTTGGCTATCTTGGAAAGTCAAAGAAGATAGACTTCAACTAATTTATATTTAAAGAGTAAAACATTCTTTAATTTTTTTCTACAGAAATAAATTTAACAACTGGAGATCAGTCACTTCACACTGTACTTTTCCCTAATAATTGATGATCATTGTGGAATAAAGTTCTATTTTAGAATTAAATATAAGAAACAAATTCTGATCTAGAGGACTGACTGCCAGTGCTTAATTATTGTGCTGCTTACTTTCTGGTGTTACTAAAATTTGGATTTTTTTCTAGCATGAATCAGATATCTTTTGAGTGTACCTAGGTTTTTGTAGAAGTCCCCACATTATCCATTTAACCCTGTGTTTTTATCTAATTACTCGTTGATATTTTCTAACATGTATTACATACGTGCAGTTCCATATTCTAATTGCTTGCTTTAGTTTTTCTTCATAGTATTTGTCCAAGAGTGTTTATTTGGTAACTCTTTTCTTTAATGTCTCTCTCCTTCATTAGACTTTAAAGTCCATAATACAAGAGCCATATCTGTCACTGTATCCCTAGAGTCGGCATAGTGCCTGGCACAGAATAGGTACATGTGATGGCAGAGTGAATCAGCGAGCGATCATACCGTCAAATTTATTTGATTTGGGTGCGTTTAATCATTTCAGGGCTAATGGAACTTCTGTGCTGAGTAATTGTTCTGAGGTTCAAACATGATCGATTGGGGATGCCTGTCGTGGGAAGATGTTAAAGGGGGTGGCTCCATGTGGTCAATTTTAATAATATCTTGCCTTAAATAACTTTACTAAATATAAAAAACTTGTCTAAAATAGTATCACTTGTGAAACTTAATTACTCAAGCCTCTGTGCGTGTAGGATTTTCACTTTGCCTTTTTTTTTTTTGCAGAGTTTAAATTCATTGTTATTTATAAGAACATCATGTATTGTACAAAATATGAAAAAAATTCATTTCCAGTGATTTACTGGTGAATTAATATCAAAGCTTTTTTTCCCTCCAGTGACTATAGCTGATTTCATTCAACAACAACTATTGTACTTCTTAAGTGACATTTATAATGAAATCACTTCATTTGAAAATGTCTTCAAATTATTTTTCTTCCAGGGAGTCTGGAGTCCTCGAAAAATTCCTAATCCAGATTATTTTGAAGATGATCATCCATTTCTTCTGACTCCTTTCTCTGCTCTTGGGTTAGAGCTTTGGTCTATGACTTCTGATATCTACTTTGATAATTTTATTATCTGTTCAGAAAAGGAAGTAGCAGATCGTTGGGCTGAAGATGGTTGGGGAGTGAAAAGAATGATAGCAAATGCTAACGAGGTACGGTACTGACTATATAGTAATAATTGGACTTGGTCCTGGTTATAGCCATGCAAATTACCCTTTAAAAGGTAAATAAATATGTAGTAATTACTAAGTATCAAAGAAATATCCTTATATTTATATAAACAGAATACTTAGCTTTATTATGATAACAACTTCATTATAAACTATGTAATTAACTATATGTATATGTCAGTCTTCATTTCATTCTTTAAATTATGATAGCTATAATGGAATTATTTGCTTTTATAGAAATGAGACTACTTAATATTTATATTTGTAGTCTTTGTCTATAAGTCTTTGTCACCTTGTCAATTCCAGGCCTAAGTGGTAGCAGTAATTCTCAGGCTGATTTTATTAATAAGTCCTTTAAAAGTACAGAATGAGTTATCAGAGAGTTGTATACTTCTAAATGAACCAGATAATACAGTGTAGGGCAAAGTAGGTCACAGTTGTTTGTATGGAAGATGATGCAATAATTAATGAATAATAATATGAGAATAAACTCTGTGTTTCACATACTCACAACGTAAAGCTACTTTTTCTACACCTTGCGTATACATCTGTAAAGACTAATTTCGCCCTGGCCGGGGAGCTCAGTTGGTTAGAGAGTCTTCCCTGTACGCCAAGGTTGTGGGTTGGATCCCTGGTCAGGGCAGACACAAAAATCAATCAATGAATGCATAAATAAGTGGAACAACAAAGCAATGCTTCTCTATCCTTCTTCCTCCCTTTCTCTAAGATCAATAAATAAAAATTTAAAAAAATTTAAGACTAATTGTATCCTGAAATTTACCAAAAAAGATTGTCATTATTCTTGCTAGTAGGTTAGTGGTTTCCACCTACAAAGTCTCCAACAGCCATGCATGCTAATAATTAAAAGTTGAAACTTTACAAAGTATAAGATAGGAAAGTGAAGTATTTTTTAACTTAACAAGTTCACACTCCTTAATATCAAATGCCAAGATAAATAAGCTTTTTGGGTAAGCTCTATTTTCTAATGCAGGCTTGTGACCTCTGAGCTGTACTTTGACGCTTGCTTTGTCTGCAGCCCGGCATAGTTGCACAGCTGAGGGCAGCTGCTGAGGAGCATCCATGGCTGTGGCTCATTTATCTTGTGACAGCGGGACTCCCAATAGCACTAATTACTTCATTTTGTTGGCAAAGAAAAGTAAAGGTAAATAAAATTAATTTCCTTCAACTTAAAAAATAAAACTTTTAGTGTTTAAGAGTTTTCTGAATTGAGCAAGTGGTTCTTAAAAGTAATAACCAAAATTTGTATAAATTTTTATTGTGTATAATGTCCATTATTGCAAAAAAAAAGCTTTTTAAAAAATAGTACTTTGCTTTTAGTAAAAATAGCATATGTTAAACTACCACAGAAAAAATATGAAGACGCAGAGTATAAAAAAACTGACATATGTCAGCCACAAACAAAGGGGGCGCTAGAGCAAGAAGTGAGGGAAGAGAAAGCAGCCCTCAAGGAGCCAGTTGACTCGGAAGAGGAAAAGAAGCAAAGTGACGGTGAAATTGTTGAAAAAGGTAAGACAGTGATAGTGATTTGTAATGGAGACCTGGGCAAAGCTCATAGAAACCGTCCATTACCTGGTAAGCACTAGCTCTTGGACTTGCTGTCAGATTTATGCCGTCTGAATCCCCAAGAATGGTGACCGTGGCAAAGAGAAGCAGTCATCCATGCCTGGCTGTTGTGTTCTGAGCAGCCACCACCCTATTCATAGTTTTCATTTTCTAGGAAGAAAGGTACTTAAATATTGTTCAGTTGCTTACGAGCCCAGCAGCTGTGTATCCCACATGCTGCAGATTTTTGCAGGACTTCTCTTGCCTCCAAGAATGCAGATGAGGTGAGCAGCGCAGACCCTGGCCTCTGGATGCGAGGAGGTGTAAGGCCGGTAACTGCAGGGACAGTGTCAACCCCAAGTCTTCCCATGGCTGTTGTTTCTCAGAGAGCTTATCCTATTGAATAAGTAATTGGCTCTCCTGAAAGGATTGCTGGATCCTATGTTCCCTCCCTCCCTATCCCACACTCCTAAAGGTGTTAGAACCTTCTCACATACGTCTAGGAAGATGTAAAACAGGTAACATCTGCCAGGTGTCCCACACCAAGATCCAGATTGAGCCCTTTACAACTTAAGTTATATCTTGAGCACTATTTTTAAATTAAGTCAATGAAACAGTTGATTTAAAAGCCATAATCTGAAAAAACACACATACATATGTATGTTTACATATGTATTTGTACATATATACGAGGTTTATCTGGAAAAAGTCCAGCCATTATTAATATAACAAGAATGGTTTGCGCAACATTGATATGACCTGGCAGCCAAAGAGAATGGTCTGGAATGCACGTGTGTGAACAATGACAACTTCACTGTACTAGTCAGTGGGGGCAGCAGACGCCATTGAGTGAGCATGTGCACTGTGTGGCCGTCACATTCAAGATGACTGAGCAAGGACAGCAACAAATCTGCATCCAATTTTGCGTTAAGTTTGAACATTCCTCTGTGGAAACTATTTGGATGATTCAGAAGGCCGCAGCTGCCAACAGCTGGTAATTGGCAGCTTCATCAGCACAGTGCACCTGCTCATGCATCACACCCTGTGCAGAGTTTTTTGGCAAAATATCAAATCACCCAGGTGACTGCCCCCCTACAGCCCAGATTTGGTGCCCTGTGATTTCTGGCTTTTCCCAAAACTAAAGTCACCTTTGAAATGGAAGAGATTTCAGACCATCAGTGAAATTCAGCAAAATACGATGGGGGCAGCTGATGGCAATTGGGAGAACTGTGTGAGGTCTAAAGGTGCCCACTTTGAAGGGGACTGAGGCATCAATGTCCTATGTACAATGGTTCTTGTATCTTCTGTCTTCTTCAATAAATCTCTATTTTTCATATTATATGGCTGGATACCTTCTGGACAGACCTTGTAAACACACACACAGATTCTTTGGTTTCCATGCTACATGCAGACTGTATGCTTAAAAATTCTTTAAACCTGTCCTTTTCCTCAAATATGATTTATTTATAAAATGTAAAATAATGAGTATTCATAATTAATTTAAAAAAATTCTAATTGAAGTGATTGCTCTTAAGCATTGGAATACTTTTCAGTAGCTAAATTCTAATTCATCAAGTCTCTGCCTTTAATAAAATCTGTATTCCAGAAGAAGAAGGTGAACCTGAGGAAAAGAGTGAAGAAGAAATTGAAATCATAGAGGGGCAAGAAGAAGGTAATAAATCAAATAAGTCTGGATCAGAGGATGAGGTAAGAAACTCTAACAGAAAATAAACCACTTTCTGTCTCTGATCATTGGCCAAAAAGTTATTTCAATAAAAGCAGCAATCTGGTTTGTGAAGGATTTTTTTTTTGCCATATTTCTCTTAGCTTTCATAATAGCCTCCATGTTTAAGAAACGGTATAAAGTAATGAAAGAGTACAAAGAAAGAGCTGCATCTGTAAAGAATTATCACTTTATCATGAAAGTATTCTGTTGAAAGGTATAATAAGCACCATTTGAATATTTACAAGGTAATTTTGTTTATTACAATTCTCTTCACAGCCATGGTAAAAACATTGTCATTGACTCAGTCATTTACATTTCACATTTTCAAATATTTCACTCATTGGGTTGTTGAGTACTGTGTGCCTGATATGGTGTTTTTTCCTCAAATCTTTAGTAAATTGGTTTTCCCATGAACGTGACATGTCTACCGCTTTTTATATCCTGGTATGTAATAGAACTTTCCACAGTGCCTTTTTTGAGTCAGTTATTGTGGAATCAGAAACATCCAGAGTACAGTTCAGAACCAGAGCGCTCTCGTTGCGTCGTTTCCACCAAAGCCGGGTTTCTCACTTCTCCCGCCCTCAAGGAGCTGCGTGATTCCACCCGCGGGGTTAGCGAGGCTTAGCGAGGGTGGCAGGCCGGTTTTGCCTGGCCTGTCGCATAGGATGAAATACACTTTCTATTTTGCCCATGTGAAGAAATCTCCCAACTAAAGTTGTTGTTGTTGTTTGTTTTCTAAAGCTTGTTCAGAACATATACCTGGTGGCTGGTCTTACCTGCCTTGTAAGGTTTTAAAGGGGCTTGGGGGATCATTATCAAGTATGAATATCCATATTTAGAGGGAGCTGGGTGAAGATTATTTCTTCTAGAACAGAGTTTTAAACAGTCATTGTTTCAGCTGTCATTCTCTCAGTAATAATAATAATACTTGCAATCATTCACTCAAGTATATATTCTAGTTATATTTTGTGTCACAGAATATTTTGTGTACCTTTAAAAATATCTCCATTCCATCTTCCAGTCTTTTAGTCTTATTGTATACATTGTCAGTAAGCCAAAACAAGCCAATTTTGTATAGTATAGCCTAGAGAAATAATTATAACTTTTGTATAATAGAGAACTTCATTATTTTATATTGTTACATGAGTTTAATTTATGTGTAAATGCTTGTTTCAGATGGATAAGAATTAATGGGAAAAAAACCCCAAACCATAGATGTTTCCCTCGTCTCTCCTAAGTTTTCTCAAGTATTGTGTGCCAGAAACTCTGTCAGAGCCCCTGAAACCACGTCAGCAATTCACTGCTTACAGAAATACTGTGATGGCTAGTTAGTGCTTAATATCCCACAGTGAAAATTTCATAGGAGCTTTAATTAATTATGACACTGAGATTAAGTTCTAAATCATAAAATCGTGAATTGAGTTGTTAGCAATATACCTTGTCAGATGCATATTGGATAAGCAGAGTCCTTCCAAAAATGTAATCATGCCAAAAGATCAACAAATTAAAACATCAACTTTATACACATCTTTGGTCAACTGCATGAAGGAACATAGATGATCTAGCATTTGACTGTTAGAACATGTATTTTAGAGAATAAGAAGTACCTTATTTATTACTATCTACTAGTCTACACACTGGGTGGAAGTAAGTGTTTTCATAATTCTTTTTCTCTAGATGAAGGAAGCTGATGAGGGCACGGGGTCTGGAGACGGGCCGGTGAAGTCAGTGCGCAAAAGGAGAGCCCGGAAGGAGTAGCCATGTTCAAGTATGTTTAATCCTGCGAGGAATGTGGCGTTCTAATGTCAGTGTGCCAGGATGGAGCTTGAATCGATCTGCATTCTGTTTCTAATATCTAGTAATGTTATTCTTTCAGACATCCATTTCAGTCTTTTCAGGAAAAAAAAAAGCCTTTGAAGTTACCTGGTCTTTGAATTTAGAATAAAAAAAGTGGCACGTTTCATATGATATTTATCAGATTAATATCATTAGAAGTTACACAGTTTTAATAGTTTGGAGAAAGTTTCAGTTTGTACGGAGCAAAATAACATGCAGCAGTTTCCCTGCTATTGGAAAAATCAGTTATTGGGCTCTCCTCTTAAATGGCTATACTACAATATAATGGGCAGTTCCACAATAAAAATAAGAGTGTGTTCTGTTGTACAGAGCTAAGTGCAGTAAAGTTTCTGTATGACTGTTCTATCAACAAAGTGTTCTATGTGACCCACATTTACCTAGTTTGTGTCAAATCATAGTTATGGTCCGTCCATTCAAATTAGATTCCTTTAAAGAGGTGCTTTGTTGGCAGACAAGTTCACAAAACAGAAATGTCTAAGTGTCATTCACAGAATCACTGGTTAATGGTGCAGCGTATTTTACATTTGAATACAAAGAAAATTGGCTCATCAAAAACAACAGGTTTTTTTTTAAAGCTTTTATAGTTTTATGCCAGAAAGCTTTACCCTACTCATTGCTTATGTGTACATTGCTCTTGAAAATATCATTTAAATATTTTCTTCTCTAATTTTTTCCTTTCTAATAGGTAAGTTATTATTGGGAAGCTTTACATTATTTTCCTGATCATTAAGAAATTATAATGGCTAATAGATATCATGCTTTGTATTTTTGTCTTGCTTTTTTCCTGACAAATTCAAGTCTACTTTAAGTCTATTCTCTCATCCAGCTTCAAAGCTGCCTCTAAGGTAGATACCAGCATTACTATTTACTATTACTAATAGTAATAGTATTACTATTACTATTGCTCCTCTTTGTAAACTATGGTTGTTACCAAAAGTCACAGCATGACATTACAATGGAGTTGTGGTGTTTCACTTAAAATATTTTAGGTTCTTATCCTTTGGAAGGTGATCTAAGTCTTTGAGGCCACAAAAACACTCTAATACTATCTAGAGAGCTTCGTAGTAACTGGGTACTATTTTGGATTCCGTCCTGGACATGCATGCCTCATCTTTGGGCAGGCACCAACTAAATTCCCACAGAACCCTCCCCAGCGGTGCATTTACAGCGTGTGTGTAAGGAAAAGGAGTCTCTAGACTCTCCTTTTACTGAAGGAGGACAAACATAGTCTACTAATTTCAGAGTGATCTGAAAATGAAAGTTAGTTCTTTATTCCATTGCTGTATTCTGCACTTTCATAAATTAGTGATGTTGATGTGAATACCTAGTTACCCATACGCATTTGGAATGTCCAAATGAATTAGACATATTGAATGATTCTAGATGAGAACGTTTCTGAAAGTAAACTACATCAGGAGATAAATGCTTTATTATGGAAACCTTGTCTGACAGGTATCCTGTATGTGAACATTTTTTCCCTAAAGATTTATTAAAGCTTTTTTTTTACTTTCTTGGTTGCAGATTCATCTTAACTTTAACATTTGGTTAAACTCCCAGAGCTTGCAGTGGTAAAATCTGAGCAACCAGTTTTGCCAACTCACTGCTACTTGCTGTGTTCTTGCGCCATGTGGTAGACAGACAGAGGCTTCTTAACAAGGTGGCTTTTTCCTTTTACCACCCTAATCTGACTTTAAAATGACTTACATTATGCTCTTCTAACAAAGGAAAAAATAAATGTATTTTGCTTTTATTTTAGTAGGTCTTTTAAGAGACTTTGTAACCGGGCCGGGCTGAAGTAGCTTTCTTTCTCTTGATTTTTGTTTTTTAAAGGTCGCCTGGCTTCCATTGATTATTTCTCTAGGAAGACATGTTAGTAGAATTAGTCACCTTTTTGAAAACTTTACACCTGTACCCATGCACTTTTTCTGCAAGTTAGAATGGTGACCATTAGTGTGACTTGGGATTTGTGGTTAAAAATGCCAGAGCATCTTCGGTTCAGGTTTCTGCTAGCTTGAGGCACTCACCTCAGAACCATTTTTTATATTATTTTATATTCTTTATCTCTCTATCACATCTCTTGTTATGGAGATTGGCCTAACCTAAAAAATACAATACCTTTCCACTGGAAATCTTGGATCTTTCTTTGAATTCCTTGCTTTTATTTTAAAATTAATGTATAATATCCTATAACATTTGTTTTAATAAAATTATTCCCCTAAACATCCAGTAAATGCTACTTAAGGAAGATAGGCCACTTATCCTATAGATTTGAACAACCCTGGATACACCACTGTGCCACCCAGTTATTTAGGCAGTGACATCAAAACACACACAATCTCTGAAACAGCTTTTTATTAAACAGCAAAGCAAAACTGCAACACAATTTTTAACATCTGTCAAATTAGGTCACAAAAGGGATGCAAAATATTTTGCAGTATGATTATATATTCATACAGCTAAAGTCATTCATTAAATTGTACATCAATACAAATATTATTACATGATTAAAAGTAACCCAAACCTAATAACTATAAGCTATGTTAATGAATCTCTTTTCTATTGAATATTTAACATTTTAACATTACTTCTGATATTAATTTCATTAACAAATGGAATCTACAAACTAATTTTTTAAAAATTGTTATTAAAGAATTACTATAACTCTTCAAACCAAGGAGTTGAGCTTGCAGAAAACTCTGGGAGAAGTAGTGAGATAAAATACTGAGAACATTATCAGTTAGTATACACGTAAAACTCTCCCATTTTTATTCATGACTCTGATACTGATACACTCAAAGGATTTTGCAAAAATTGATCTGCTGGATATTATAAATATACTTTGAGACCAAATGCTCTAGATGTGGTTTACATAGGGTTAATCAAACTTAATCCATTTTCATGTATATTCCCCTAAAGATCTGATCTGTGCCAGACATAACACAAATCTGGAGTAAAAACATCTGGAGTTGGTTACTACTGTTTACCAAGTACTTTTTCCATCTGATTTCTATTCTTCCTAAAAATAATCTATTTCAAACATACGCACAACCAGAGGTCATCTTTTCAGATACCACGTTGTTTTGTGTAAAAGGGAAGTTTTCAACAATTTTCCCAACTCGACAATTCAGCTTCAAGGAAAAAGAAATCTTCATTTTTACAGTCTCTGTTTTCAATTGATAAAAGAGAAACCAACAATCCTGTCTAAATCCCAGTACTAAATACAGTCATGCACTGCTAAGTGATGGGATACATTCTGAGAAAAGCATCGCTAGGAAATTGTGTTGTGCAAACGCCACAGCACGCACTTCCACAAAGCTGGAAGGCACAGCCCACGTGCACACCTGGGCTACGGCGGCGGCACACCGGGCAGCACACCAGCCGTTGTCTCCTCGGTCTGCCACTGACCGAAAGCCATTACACGGGCGCTTGGCTGTGTAACAAGCAACAAGCCCTAACTTTTGGTTCAGTTTCAACAGCAGAGTTCAAGTTACTCTCATAAATGATTAACTACTAAAATTACTCTTACAAATGTAACCAATGAAACCAATTGGTTTCCTCCAGGGGAAGGCAAATGGGAAGGAAGATGCAAATGGAGAAGAGGCACAAGATGGTAGACAGGGTACAAAAAGCTGTGCATTCAGTACATGATTTTGGTCACTTTTTCACAATATGGTGGTTATTTTCTTGTATCTCCTACTATGCCTATAATAAAAGATGGTGCTAAACCTATAAATCAAAGCAAATTCAATAAAACATTCATTATCAAGTTTCATAAATATATGCATTTCTAATTATAAAGTCTCTACATTTTCACGTTTTCATAGACTAACATAATACACAAACTCAGGGAAGTCCTCTGTTATGTTCTTAATTTTGCCTAGATCTGACATTATCTTCATAAATATTCAATGAAGCCACAAACAAAAGTACTAAACTTCTGGAATCTATCCAAGTTTTAAAGGAAAAAAAAAAAAAAGAGCAGCAATTCCATAAGATAGAAGGGATATTGGTCCCTTACTTTCTTTTGCTTTTTGTGTCAGTTGTTTGGAAAACACTAGAAGCTGACATGAGGTTTTCTATATATTGTCCAAGAACTTGGTTTTCTGATTTTAGCTTCAGATTTTCTTCCTTAACTGCATCTACTCTTGCAGAGAGATCTATATTAAAAGTGAAAAAGCCCATTATCAATAAAACGATGGCAGTGATTTTATAGTATAAAATGCTTAACATTCATTCTTAACAGAGAGAACATAATCCTTGAATTTTCTATTTTTAAATTCAGATCATTTTAGAAGTTAAGGTAAACAGTGCAAATCAATAGCCAAAATTCCTAAACTGAGATTTCACAGCAGATTAAATATTATTCTTTGTAAACAGGATTTATGTTGACTACTTAATTCTTAAAATGATTATTTAAAAAAAATATCGACTTTGGTATTTAAATGTAAATTTGAGTTCATATCTTACCAACATATGAACCATAACATCTTCACTAGAAATGTTTAAGAAAATGTGTTAGGTGAACACAACTGAATCATATACTGGATATAGAACGTCAGTTTCTAAGCAATTGAACATTCGGTAGTTTTACATTAGCAAGAAATTCAAAAGATGCAGTTCTTGATGATCAAATAAAACACCTCCATTCATTCATTTATAACAACTAAGTATTGGGTGTCCTCTTGAGCCAGGCACTGTTCTAGAAGCAACACTTCCAAAAAAGGTCCCTGCCCTTACAGAGCTTACATTCTAATGTGCACGTGGGCATGTGTGCCTTCAGGGGCGCCAAGTGGGGGCCAGGAGAAGAAGCAAGAAGAGTACGGGTCACAGGAAGCAAAAGGGAAGTTGGCCTTTTATACAGTATAGTCAGGGACAGCTATTTTGATCAAGGTGATTTGACTAGAAACTTTAAATAAAGGTATGAGTCTAGAGATATGCAAAAAACTACAGGAAAAAAATTCAAGCAGAAGGGAACAGCAAATAAGACCCAGCATATTGAAAGAACATTGGTGGGGGATGGGGGGAGGCGGGGGCAGAGTGAGGTAGAACGTGTTGTGAGGCCTTGTTTGTGACATGGCTCTGAGAGGTAAAAGGGACGTAACAGACTTCCAGAGCGGCTTTTATTAACTGTGACATGGGAGACCACGGGGGTGACATGATCTGCCACTCCAGATTGAGGTATCAAAGAAAAAACAAAACCACAACCCCTTAATTTCATTAAAAACAAAAAAATGTTTCAGTGGTGGTATTAATTTTATGCACTGAATCTAGAAAGTGAAAAAACTCAGATCAACTCACTTTTAATCTCTGAGGCTAATATACCGCTTTTACTACAATGGGACTTAGGGGGACGATGGAGGGGCTCTCACGGACTAAATAGCATGAGGTTAGACCATAAAGATGGAAACGTAAGAACACTATTTGACTTTCCTATTGAAGCATATCTGTTCCTTCAAATCACCAGCCAAAGCTATGGGCAGGACATGGGAAAATTAAAAAAAAAACAACCAACTATTTAAATGGAGTTGAAACTTATACATTTTAAAACTGTGCACACTTACAAAATTTAGCATCACAAAGGCTTACAATTTCAATTAATTGATGTTATTCAAAAAAACTACAAAATGCAAGCTAACCTTCAAGTGTGTGTTGGAGTTCCAACACTTGATTAATAAGTCGTGTTTTTTCCTCCAGTTCCACCTGATTTTCAGCATCAACTGCTGTAATAAAAAGGTTCAAATTTACTATTAACATTAGGTACCATTTGTGTAGTGTAGCACTTAAAGATCTGCAAAATGTTTTTATGTTATCTAACTTGACTTATACAAGAGCCCTGTGAAGTAAAAAGTTCTATCCCCACATTGCGGAAAAGAACACCAAGGTAAAGTGTGTTTGCCAGCATCTCACAGTAAGGAACTCCGAAGCTCATTTAAATCCTTTCCAGAACTAGAAGGGATACAAATAAGTAAATTAGGCATATCCAAAACTCTAAATATTCTTCTTTGTTCCTTCCATTGCTCAATAAAGCAAAAGCAACCACAAAACCAGGAACATACAAAAGGAAAATAACGTACCATCCATTTCAGCATTCATCATCTTGGGTAAGAAACTTTGGGGCCTCGGATACAAAATCCTTGATGACTGGTCTGCAATAGAGAAAGTTAGAAACAGACACATAGAGAAATAAAAATATAAGCTTTTCAAAAGAAAAATTTGTGACCCAGTAGTACCCTTTCACATGCTTTACTGTTTCTAAGAAAAAACACCCAATGGGTAAGCAAAGGATACTTACAAATAGTTGATAAAGAGAAGTAAACAAGAGAGAATGCTGAGTTCCTTGGTTATGTAAAAAATACATAATAAAATACTACTGCACATTCATAAAATTACTTTTAAAAGATAATGACCAATGCTAGCAGTTACAGAAAAACTAAAATAATGTCATTGTGCATTAATGTGCTAAATGCTTCACATATATTATTCATCAAATCAACGGGACGACACTGCGATGTACAGATGGGGACACTTTATCTCAGAAAGTGTATGTATTTTGCCTTAGATTTCAGAGCCATGTCTCTACCAATTATTTGAACCTCGGCCTAACTATCAAGTCCCATTTTCCATTATGCAATGGAAGAAATTTTAATATAACCCTAACCTAATTTTGCCAAACATTTTGCAACTCTTGAGTATCGAATACTCAAGAAATATTAAATTCCTTTGATATTTCTACGAGCTAAGCGGCTGAAAAATTTCATTCCATTCAAGTTGCGTCAACGGTCAACATGGTTGGTTCGGGTCCGTTCAAATTCTGATTTGTTCCGGTTACATAAACCCACAAACTGAGGAACTGTTTGGCCAAAGGAGGATCTGAATGGAGAGCCAGATCCCCAGAAAACGGCTCCCTATCGAGCTTCGTGAGGTCACGCCCAGAACACACAGAGAGAGAGCAGTGGATCCTCAGTACAGACACGGCGCGGGGACCACAGCGTAGCTCGCCCTTAACATTGTTGCGTCATAGTACTAGCATGGATACATTGTACAACAAAAGCTCTGCCTTTCCAGAATGTACCCTCTTTCTCGGTTCCACTCGTAACTTGTTCTCTCAGGGGAGAGGGCAGGACCCTTGAAAGAAGTCCAAGAAGACAGCCTGAGAGCCGCTTTCAGCGCCTAAAAAGACGTCGCTAGCCCTCACTCTACCTCTCACTTGCCCCCAACCCCCCGCCAATCCCTGGCCTTGGCCTCTCCTCACCACACCCCCTGGGCTTGGCAGAGCAGCCACGGCCAAGTCCACAGGTGCCAGGTCCCCTCCCACCCAAACGCCCCTCCCGCAGCCCCATTTCAGAGCCAGGATGCTGGACAGCGGCCTTCGACTCAGGAACGGCTAGGGGAAAGCGTTAGGACACCAGCGTCCGGGACCGCGCCTCCCTCCCCCCAAAGAACCTCTAGGCCTAATAAAGAGAAGATGAGAAAAAGGGACTGCGCAGGGGTTCTGCAAGGAGCCAGGTCTCAGCCGTTCCCCCGACACCCAAGCCCGAGGCCGCTCCTCCCAGGCCCCTGGGGCGCCGGGTGGCGTCCAGCCCGCCCCGCCCCCTGGGCCCTCGGCGGTACCGAGGCCGCAACTCCAATCGCCCGGGGCCAGGTCCTCCGCTGCCCAAGGCCGCCCTCACCCGCCGTTTGAGGAGCCGGGAGGGGCAGGTATCTGGAGGATGCCTCGGGCCGGGACACTGGGAGCAATTGACATCGACAGCTCCACCCTCTCCGCCCACAGAGCGTGCGCAGAGTCGGGAGTCCCGCCCCGTCCCGCCAATCCCCACTCAAGAATCCACGCGTGCGCATTAGCTGCTCGGCGCCCCAATCGTCCTCTCTCCAAGCGCCGGGATCCACCTTTTGCCACAACAAAAGGACATCAGCATCCAATCAGGATTGAGGTAGTTGTGGGCGGGTCCTGGATGAGTAACAGCCAATGACAGCACAGAAGAGAAGTTAAGCGTGAGAAAGCCCCTCCAAGCGTAGCGCCTCTTCTGTCTCAGCAGGATCCTGAAAATTGGACTCAGAAATCCAGTATGGAAAATTCTGACAGCTGTCAGGAAGGAGGCTGGTCATAAGAAACGCTGGGCAAGAGAGAAATCATTCACATGTAAGAAAGGGGCATTTGTGGACATTAACAGGTGAAGCCAATGCAATCCCGTGGTTCCTCAGTTCCAGCAGACTTTACCATATATTTTTATTTCTCAAGGCGGAAACCTTCTAAGTGTACCTCTAGTAGGTAGTTCCTCTCTGCAGTCTTTCCAAATACATAGTGCGCCTGACCATTTAATTATAGAGTTGAGAAAATACCTTAACAGTGCTTTAGTATAAAGCGCTTTCTCTCATCATATTCCATGTTGAACATCAAAACAACCCATAGAAAGAAACTGAAGCTTAGGAGTAAATAAATGTCTCGCTCAAGGTCATACATACATCATCAAATGCTATGTGCCAGGCTTTGGGATGTAATGTAATCTGGCTTCATACCATTCATAGATACCGTATTATGCCGTGTATAATGCGCACTTTTTTTGGCTCAAATTTTTTAGGGAAAAATAAGGGTGTGCATTACACATGGGTAGTACTAATTCCATATCAATATAAATGTAACTATTTTATTTATGCTATGTGTTAAAAAGTGTAACTCTAGAAAGCAATAACAATATCCATATGCAAAATAAAGCCCTGGAATACAGTAGCTGGTTTTGGTTCTAAAGATAAATAAATTAAAAAATAAAAATGAAACTTTTTTTCCCTGGAAACCAAGTCAAAAACGTGGGTGCGCATTATACACGGCCAAATACGGTGGCCAGCCCTTGACATAAAACGGACCCTCTTTGTTTTCAATATTTGTTGATTACCAAATAGTTAACATACTCCTGAGTTACAGGGGCGAGTCTTATGTCTGTTTCTTAGCTTTTTACTTCTGGTACAGTTTGCTGATGTATGGCCTTAATCCTTTTAAGGAGTATATTAAAAACGTATATAAAAAGTGTACATTTTCAGTAGTGCTAAGTATATTCACATTGTTCCTCAACCAATCACCAGAATTCTCATGTTGCAAAACCAAACCTCCATACCCATTAAATTGCTACTCTCCATTTAGCTCCTGCAGCACCTGGCCAGCGCCGTTCTTTCTGTCTCTATAAATATGACTATTTTAGGTACATCACGTAAGTGGAATCATAGTGTTTGTCTTTTTGTGACTCAGTCCACTTAGCAGAGCATCCTCAAGTTTCATCCATGTCATAGCATGTGTCAGAATTTCCTTCCTTTTTAAGCCTGAATAATAGTCCATTGTAGGTATGTATTTTCTTTATCCATTCATCTTTCAGTACACACTTGGGTTATTTCCACCTTTTAACTGCTTTGACTGCTTCTATGACCATGATGTGTGCAAATATCTCTTTGAGAACTTGCATTCGGTTCTTTTGGGCCTATATCCAGATCTGCAATCTTAAACTTTTAAAAGCTATGCAACTTTTTAAAATGTGGTATTGACATGAGAATAGACAAAAAGAAAATTAAGAAAGTACCTGTGCCTGTAAGGTGGAATACAATAAGGGTGTCTGATAAGGAATACATGTTGGTAAGGCTGTGGGAAAAAACCTATTCATTACTGTTGGGAGTATAAATGGTAAAATATTTGTGAATTGGCTTTGAAATTTTTTCATTTATTGATTTTTTTTTTTTTTTTTTTTTTTTTTAGAGAGAGAGGAAGAGGGTGAGAGAGAGAGAGAAACATTGGCTTGCTGTTCCACTTATTTGTGCATTCATTGGTTGACTCTTGTATGTGCCCTGATGGGGGTCAAACCTGCAGGCTTGGTACGTGATGCTCTAACCAACTGAGCTGTCTAGCCAGGCTGTGTTAACTGGCTTTGGAAAGGAAAAATTATGCTGGTTTGGTTAAAGTTGGCTATTCATATAAAAATATGAAATTAGATCTGCATCTCATACACAAATAAAACTAAATTCCAAAGGAACTAAATGTAAAATGTGAAAAACAAAACTTATAGAAAACAGATGTTTTTATGACAACATCACAGGAAAAAACTGGTTAAACCAGCCAAAACTCCACCACTCATTAAGGGAAATATTTTCAATTTTGATTGTTTTACAAACAGAAGAGTTAAACGTTTTAAAACCCAAAGAGAAGACATTTTTAATCAAGTTAAAAAACAAACCACAGGCTGGAAGACTATATTTAAGCTCTGAAAATATAAAGAATTCAGACAATTTGAGATAAAATTATTCAAATAACATAAATAAGCAACTGAAAGAAGAGTAAAATCGAATGGCCTGAGAGATATTTATTAATGTTTACCTTTATGAACAATCATGGGAATTCATATTAAAAACAAGGTAAGAGTTAGTTTGTTAAGAAGATGCAAAATCCTGATAGTGCTGTAAAATAGCACTGAAGCACAAATGGACAGAGCTACTGTGTATAAATAGAACTGGAGCTGGAGAGCGCATCACACCTTTTTCTGTAGTTTGTGAACAAGTACAGTATCCGGGAAGTCAGTAAGGGCACAGAACGCAAGCCCTGAGCTTGGCTGCACATTAGAATCACTGGGAGTCTTTTAATGCTTTCAAAGAACAGGCTACACCTCAGCAGAAGAAAAACCAATCATTGAAAAACTATGAAATAAAAAAAGTCAATGAAACCAAAAAGTGGTTCTTTTAAAGGAAAATAAAATTAAAAGCTCTGAATTAGACTTTTTTTTAATGAGAGAAAACATCCTAAGTCACAGATAGTAAGAATGAAAAAAGGGACATCACTACAGATCCTATAGACGTTAAAAGGCTAATAAGGGAATATTATGAACAACCTTATGTCAATAAATTTGATAATTTAGATGAAATGGAAAAATCCCTTGGAAGACATATAAAAGTTTGCTCAACAAGAATAGATGATCTGAATAGCTCTGTATCTATAAAATGTCATTACTAGGTTAACCTTCCCACAAAGAATACTCCAGATCCCAGTGAGTTCACTGGTACATTCTTCCAAATATTTTGAGAAATTATACCAGTTCTACACAAACTTTTCCAGAAAATAAAACAGGAAAGAACACTTTTCAACTTGTTTTATATGAACAGCATTACCCTAGTA